AGATCTACTACTGCGGACAAGAGGAACATCGAAGAAATGGAGTAGCCTTCATAATTAATAAGAAATTCGCTAAAGCGGTGCTTGGATACAACCCAAAAAATGACAGAATGATCTCAATTCGAGTGCAAGGAAAGCCTTTCAACATTACAGTGATACAAATATATGCCCCAACCACAGCTGCTGAAGAAGCAGAAGTAGATCAGTTCTATGAGGATCTGCAGGACCTACTGGATAATACACCAAAAAGAGACATTATTTTCATTACAGGAGACTGGAATGCCAAGGTGGGAAGTCAAATGACAACAGGGATCACAGGCAAGCATGGTCTGGGAGAACAAAATGAAGCGGGACGCAGGCTGATAGAATTTTGCCAGGAAAACTCGCTGTGTATAACGAATACTCTCTTCCAACAACCTAAAAGACGGCTTTATACATGGACCTCACCAGATGGTCAACACCGAAAATAGATTGATTACATCCTTTGCAGCCAAAGGTGGCGGACATCCATCCAGTCGGTGAAAACAAGACCTGGGGCTGACTGTAGCTCAGATCACGAACTTCTTATTGCACAATTTAGAATAAAACTAAAGCGATCAGGGAAAATACACAGACCAGTTAGATATGATCTCACTAACATTCCTAGCGAATATACAGTGGAAGTGAAGAACAGATTTGAAGGACTAGATTTAGTAAACAGAGTCCCAGAAGAACTATGGACAGAAGTCTGCAACATTGTTCAGGAGACGGCAACAAAGTACGTTCCAAAGAAAAAGAAAACCAAGAAGGCAAAATGGTGGTGGCGGTGGGGTGGGAACTAGCCAACAGGAGGCGGCAACAAAGTACGTCCCAAAAGAAAAAGAAAACCAAGAAGGCAAAATGGTTGTCTGCTGAGACACTGGAAGTAGCCCAAGAAAGGAGGAAAGCAAAAGGAAACAGTGATAAGAGGAGATATGCCCAGTTAAATGCGCAATTCCAGAGGTTAGCCAGAAGAGATAAGGAACTATTTTTAAACAAGCAATGCATGGAAGTGGAAGAAGACAACAGAATAGGAAGGACAAGAGACCTCTTCCAGAAAATTAGAAACATTGGTGGTAAATTTCAGGCAAAAATTGGTATGATAAGAAACAAAGATGGCAGGGACTTAACAGAAGCTGAAGAGATCAAGAGAAGGTGGCGAGACTATACAGAAGATCTGTATAGGAAGGATAATAATATTGAGGATAGTTTTGACGGTGTGGTGAGTGAATTAGAACCAGACATCCTGAGGAGTGAGGTTGAATGGGCCTTAAGAAGCATTGCTAACAACAAGGCAGCAGGAGACAATGGGATCCCTGAACTGTTTTTTAAACAGCTGAACTGTTTAAAATCTTGAAAGATGATGCTGTCAAGGTGATGCATGCCATATGCCAGCAAATATGGAAAACACAAGAATGGCCATCAGACTGGAAAAAAATCAACTTATATCCCCATACCAAAAAAGGGAAATGCGAAAGACTGCTCAAACTTCCGTACAGTGGCCCTTATTTCTCATGCCAGTAAGGTAATGCTCCAGATCCTGCAAGGAAGACTCGAGCAATACATGGAGCGAGCGTTACCAGATGTACAAGCTGGGATCAGAAAAGGCAGAGGAACAAGAGACCAAATTGCCAATATCCGCTGGCTAATGGAGAAAGGCAGGGAGTTTCAGAAAAACATCTACTTCTGCTTCATTGACTATTCTAAAGCCTTTGACTGTGTGGATCATAATAAATTGTGGCAAGTTCTTAGTGGGATGCGCATCCCAAGCCACCTTGTCTCTCTCCTGAGGAATCTGTACAAGGACCAAGTAGCAACAGTCAGAACTGACCATGGAACAACAGACTGGTTCAAGATTGGGAAAGGCGTACGGCAAGGCTGCATCCTCTCACCCAACCTTTTTAACTTGTATGCAGAACACATCATGCGATGTGCGGGGCTGGATGAATGCAAAGCTGCGGTGAAAATTGCTGGAAGAAACATTAACAACCTCAGATATGCAGATGACACCACTCTGATGGCCGAAAGCGAGGAGGAGCTGAGGAGCCTTCTAATCAAGGTGAAAGAAGAAAGCGCAAAAGCCGGGTTGCAGCTAAACGTCAAAAAAACCAAGATTATGGCAACAAGAATGATTGACAACTGGAAAATAGAGGGAGAGAACCGTGGAGGCCGTGACAGACTTTGTATTTCTAGGTGCAAAGATTACTGCAGATGCAGACTGTAGCCAGGAAATCAGAAGACGCTTACTTCTTGGGAGGAGAGCAATGTCCAGTCTCGATAAAATAGTAAAGAGTAGAGACATCAGACTGGCAACAAAGATCCGCCTAGTCAAAGCCATGGTATTCCCTGTAGTTACCTACGGATGTGAGAGCTGGACCTTAGGGAAGGCTGAGCGAAGGAAGATCGATGCTTTTGAGCTGTGGTGTTGGAGGAAAGTGCTGAGAGTGCCTTGGACTGCGAGAAGATCCAACCAGTCCATCCTCCAGGAAATAGGGCCCGACTGCTCACTGGAGGGAAAGATACTAGAGACAAAGTTGAAGTACTTTGGCCACATCATGAGGAGACAGGAAAGCCTAGAGAAGACAATTATGCTGGGGAAAGTGGAAGGCAAAAGGAAGAGGGGCCGACCAAGGGCAAGATGGATGGATGGCATCCTTGAAGTGACTGGATTGACCTTGAGGGAGCTGGGGGTGGTAACGGCCGACAGGGAGCTCTGGCGTGGGCTGGTCCATGAGGTCACGAAGAGTCGGAGACGACTGAACGAGTGAACAACAACAAGTGGTTCTGATCATGACTGAATAATGCACCAGTGGTGAATTGCACTAGGTCTTTGGTTCTAACCTGAATATGTTGTCTGTTGGTGCTAGATCTGTTGAAACCTCACAGTGCGTAAAACATTGCTTCATGTTATTAAAACATAATCCTCTACATTTCAGTTGTTCTGACAGGTAGTAGAGGTGGCTATGATTAGAGAGCTCTCCTCCTTGAAACTCCTAGTAAAAGAGACTAAAATTCACTTACAACACAGAAAGGTGAATTCATCTTCATACTTCAGCTTAAAATGACGTAATTGATCATTATGCATTGCCCACTCCTTTCAGAACTGGGCCATTGATTTAACAGAGATGAGAAAGTTAAGGGTTTTTTTTTTTAAAAAGGTGTAAGAGTGTAATTAATGGTGTGCAAAGAGATCTTGTAGCACCTTAGTTATTTTTCATTTAAGGTGCTACAATATCCCCTTACATACTTATATTCCAGACTAACACAACTATGTCTTTTAATTCTAAACTTGGGCCTAGTTTAATGAACTGTTAGAGAATTCAGCATCTTAGTAACAACCCACTGTTAATAGTTGACTCTTTTTTAAACAAAACTTCTCATCTCTAATGTTTAAAAGGTAGTTGGAGAGCAATCCAACTCACAATTGTTTGCACATGTAATATACCACATTTTTGTCTTTAAACAGAGACATGCTATATTATTTTTACAAACAGGTGACATGCTGCAGAATCCCTCCATAGGTCTCCAGATGTGGGACAAAAGAAATCTTTGGTTCACATAGAAAACAAGACTAGGCTATATCTTCTAAGATATCTTTAGAATCCAATATTCCTGGACACCCACTGGCCCAGTTCCATTTCATGTTAACTTATATAACCAGAGTTGGAAGAGACCACCAGGGCCAACCAATCCAGCCCGCCATGCAGGAATACACAACCAAAGTATGCCCAACAGATGGCAAACCAGCCTTTCTCTAAATGTTAAAATAGGGCTACACTGAACTTGGAAAAAAAAACCCTCCCAACTAGATGTGTGCAACTACCAACTGTTTTTGCATGCATCCCTCACACTTTATACTAACGGGGCCACATTATCCTGCTGCTGTGCTGTTGTGTTTTGGTTATGGTGTAACTTTAAAAAGTGCTGTTTCACTTCTGTGTTTAAAAAGTTTCAAAGCTTTCATCAGTTTAATTAAAAGCACTTTAAGAAAGATGATAAATCTGGTGGCGGCAGTTAAGAGTGCTATTGCCCACCTGTTAAAAGTTAAATGGGATCCATCCATCATTAGGGCATTTGTTTCTTCAGGAGGAATTTTTATCTCCTCTTACCTTGAACCTTCCTGTCAGTTCTGTGATGGAGTCACTCTGAGGTCCATAAACATTGTATGGAGAACTACTGCAAACACTAAAGATGAGAAAGTGAATGGAATTTCTCACAAACTGAATCCCACTCCCTAACGATTGATCTTTACATAGGATTGTTGTGTGTTTTTGGGCTGTATAGCCATGTTCCAGAAGCCATACAGCCTGGAAAACTCACAGCAACCCAGTGATTCTGGCCACGAAAGCCTTTGACATGATAATTTGGGAATTCTGGAATTCTTTCATCTATACAAGCTCAACTGTTCATTGAGATTATTGGGGCACCTCATTCATTAGTCTATGGTATCTTTATACCTAGATAATTTGTAATGCCCTGTGCCTTCCATATTAAGCCACAAGATAGTGGCTCCCAATTGCAAAATGAGAAAAAAACTCTTTTCTTTTTATTCTGTGTATGCTTATTATTAAGGAGAAACACAGAAGGGGATGTATATATCTTCCCAAAGGGGGGAAATGTTGACATCCAACTTCCCAACACTTGTGAACATTGCTTGGAATGACTGCAACGATAACCAGACACAATGTCCACTGAAAGGCAGTCCAAATGAAATAAAACTTTAAATTAAAAGCAAGCATGCCAAATAGTAAAGCACTTAGTGCTGAAACTACCAAGAAAATATAACTAAAGCAGAAAGAAGTTTTTAAATGAGTACTTGGGAAACCTGGCTTTCAAAAGGAAAATGGAAATACAATATGAACCAATTTTCCTTAAAAAGTCTGATTAAGAAAAAATAAAAGAGACGGAAAAGACCAGGAAAACACCCAGGGAATAGCAAAACATGTTGTGTGTCACTTGTTTTAAGTCACAAAGAAACACAATAATCAAAAAAGATATTTAGTTTAATACAAATTTTATACAAAGAAAATGTGAAAAAATACTTCCATATGCTAAAAGCAATTATGCTTCACAAATAAGGCCAGCTAGGCTATCTTTGACACAACTGCAATTCACAAATAGTCTGCTCTTGATTTTTCTTCCTTCTAGTTTTTCTTCCTTTCCACTAAGGTGTGTACTAGCTGGAGACTGTACAAACTGCATCCTTTATAAACAATGGCAGAAATCAATATGACTAAAATGTACAACAAAATGTACTGGAATGATATCATACAATTATTTTCTCATATACATACATCACCTTGCTTTGTTCAATGCTTTTGTTTACACAACATACAAAATCGTACTACAGTATAAGTGTAACAGACAGTGTTTTCATGGGTTACTTTCTCTCTCATACTGTACTGTTTTCATGCTTACATAGAAACATAAAAATTCCATAATACATGCTCTAGCCCAGCAGCAATGCCTCTTGCCCATGTTTTCCAGGTAATAGAGTCCTCTCCATCTCTGGCACCTGTTCCCTTTAAAATCATTTCAACATCCTTTGGACACATATGTACTTGTCAAAACTGAAACAATCCAGTAGGAAGAATGGTTCCTAATACCCACTTTTATTATCTCTGGAATTATTGATCAGTATATTCCATCTATATTAAAGCACTCTACTTCCCCTGCTCTTAGCATGAATGAAATTTAAACTTTTTTTTGTAAACAATCTCTCTCATTTTAAATATGCAGCACAAAATATGCCCTTTAATGTACTTGAGGTCCAAAGATGGGAAATGTTTAAGTTGACAAATTTAAAACGACCAAGGTTCAGTTGCACAAACAGACGTGCAGGCATTATTTCCATTTCCAAAGGAAAGACAAATGGTCCAGTCTTCTCTTCCGTAAATCCCAGAGAGGAAGAATGATTAATGTGTGCAACTGCAGTTCCCAGAAGACCAGGGTGATATTTGCGGCAAGTCAGATTTAACCTTTCCTTCACCAACTTCCAACACTTCTTTTACGCTGAAGTCCATACAAATATAAAAAGGAGATGGCACTCTAACATCATCCACAAATTGTACATCATTTACAACAGAAGCATAGATTTACCGTACATTTTACCAGTCCTTGAGCTTTTTAAAGCCAGCCACTAATGCTTTACATTAATGTAGTGTAGTTAAATGCTTTGTATACATGTACAAAGCTAAAAGTCAGAACCTTTGAGGTTAATTCAATCAACTGTGGGTATTTTTTCTTCACATTTCTATTACAGAGGTTATTATCTATTCCAACAGCTGCCGTAATTCGTTCATTAGCATGAGCAGTTAGACTCTCCGCACTTGGACAGGCATCGTTGTTTGAACATATTGAACTCCTGTTCTCATGGCCACAGTTCCAGCTGTAGGGCTTACTACTACAGGAATAGTCTGTGAATTAAAATCAAGACACATGTCAGAGACCACAGAAGGATAATAACACAAACACAGAACTATGAAAAATTGACTCAAGCAGGTTATGCCCCTAGACAAAGAGATTGCCTAAAACAAAATACAATACAGGCAATATAGAACTTGTCTGTTCCTTGATATGCATCTTCAAGCATGTGTGTAAACATAATTTAAATATATTTTCAAGTACATTATTACCAGTATATGACAGAACTAACAAAACGTGTTAAATGTTTTTGAGACACAGAATGTTGATGAGAGACTAAGGTTCTGTCTCTGTACTGAAAAAAGTTATTCTATACATTATTGTTTGTTGTTTACATGATTTTAATATGTTGTAAGCAGCTTTGGATCCCGTGAGGGAGAAAATAAGGATATAAATAAAATTTATTTTTAGAAATACAACGAGATGAGTCCACAGCAAACAAGATCACTCTGCTGGCTGTTGTATTGGATCACACATCGGACACTTCCCAAGTGTCGAAGACTGTGTGATGTATTGGCAATAATGCATGCAGATCCCAGATGGTAATTTTGTCAATGCCTGATTGTGTTTAAGTGCAGGCCAAGGTCTTTAGGCACTGCACCCAGTGTGCCAATCACCACTGGGACCACCTTTACTGTCTTGTGCCAGAGTCTTTGCAGTTTGATCTTTAAATCCTCATATCGTATCAGCTTCTCCAGTTGTTTCTCTTCAATCCTGCTGTCGCCTGGGATTGCAACATCGATGATCCATACTTTGTTTTTTAAAACAATCATGAGGTCAGGAGTATTGTGCTCCAAAACTCTGTCTATCTGAATTTAGAAGTCCCAGAGTAGTTTTACGTGTTCATTTGTGTGTAACTTTTTCAGGCTTGTGATCCCACCAGTTCTTTGTCACAGGCACAAGTTCCAATGAATCACCTGAGCAAAGATCTGTCTGCACTCTTCGAGGAGAAGATGGGGCAATGCTGACAGGGGATAGGGAAAAGGCAGAACTACTTAATGCCTTCTTTGCCTCGGTCTTCTCACAAAAAGAGAGTCTTCAACCTCAGCACGATGGAGTGGATGAGGGATTGGAGGACATCCAACCCCAAATTGGGAAAGAAGTCGTCCAGGAATACCTGGCCGCTCTTAATGAGTTCAAGTCCCAGGGCCAGATCAACTACACCCCAGAGTATTGAAGGAACTAGCGGAAGTCATTTCGGAACCATTGGCAACCATCTTTGAGAGTTCTTGGAGAACGGGAGAAGTTCCAGCAGATTGGAGGAGGGCAATGTGGTCCCAATCTTCAAGAAGGGAAAAAAGGATGACCCAAACAACTACCGTCCGGTCAGCCTCACGTCGATACTGGGCATGATTCTGGAAAAGATTGTTAAGGAAGCGGTCTGCAAACACTTAGAAACAAATGCAGTCATCGCTAATAGTCAACATGGATTTATCAAAAACAAGTCATGCCAGACTAATCTGATCTCTTTCTTCGATAGAGCTACAAGCTGGGTAGATGCGGGGAATGCCGTGGATGTAGCGTACCTGGATTTCAGTAAGGCGTTCGACAAGGTCCCCCATGACCTTCTGGCAAGGAAACTAGTCCAATGTGGGCTAGGCAAAACTACGGTGAGGTGGATCTGTAATTGGTTAAGTGGACGAACACAGAGAGTGCTCACTAATGCTTCCTCCATCTTGGAAAGAAGTGACAAGTGGAGTTCCGTCCTGGGCCCAGTCCTGTTCAACATCTTTATTAATGACTTAGATGAAGGGCTAGAAGGCATGATCATCAAGTTTGCAGACGACACCAAATTGGGAGGGATAGCCAATACTCCAGAGGACAGGAGCAGGATTCAAAACGATCTTGACAGATTAGAGAGATGGGCCAAAACTAACAAAATGAAGTTCAACAGTGACAAATGCAAAATACTCCACTTAGGCAGAAAAAATGAAATGCAAAGATACAGAATGGGGGACAATGCCTGGCTCGAGAGCAGTACGTGTGAAAAAGATCTTGGAGTCCTCGTGGACAACAAGTTAAACATGAGCCAACAATGTGATGCGGCAGCAAAAAAAGCCAATGGGATTTTGGCCTGCATCAATAGGAGCATAGTGTCTAGATCTAGGGAAGTAATGCTACCCCTCTATTCTGCTTTGGTTAGACCACATCTGGAATATTGTGTCCAATTCTGGGCACCACAATTCAAGAGAGATATTGACAAGCTGGAATGTGTCCAGAGGAGGTGACTAAAATGATCAAGGGTCTGGAGAACAAGCCCTATGAGGAGCGGCTTAAGGAGCTGGGCATGTTTAGCCTGAAGAAGAAAAGGCTAAGAGGAGATATGATAGCCATGTATAAATATGTGAGAGGAAGCCACAGGGAGGAGGGAGCAAGCTTGTTTTCTGCTTCCTTGGAGACTAGGACGCGAAACAATGGCTTCAAACTACAAGAGAGGAGATTCCATCTGAACATTAGGAAGAACTTCCTGACTGTGAGAGCTGTTCAGCAGTGGAACTCTCTGCCCCCGAGTGTGGTGGAGGCTCCTTCTTTGGAAGCTTTTAAACAGAGGCTGGATGGCCATCTGTCAGGGGTGATTTGAATGCAATATTCCTGCTTCTTGGCAGGGGGTTGGACTGGATGGCCCATGAGGTCTCTTCCAACTCTTTGATTCTATGATTCTATCTGCTTCCTTGCAGAGTCTACACTTGGATCTGTTGTCACTTTTCAATTCTGGCTTTGATGGCATTTGTTCTAATGGCTTGTTCTTGGGCTGCCAGAATCAGGCCCTCCGTCTCCTTTTTCAAAGTTCCATTTGTGAGCCACATCCATGTTTTTTCTTTGTCAATTTGGCTCTCAATTTTTCCCAGGAACTGTCCATGGAGAGCCTTCTTTTGCCAGTTTTCTCTTCTGCTCTGCATTGTGTTTATTATCAGATTTATTATTATTATTATTATTATTATTATTATTATTATTATTATTATTCATACATAAATTCAGATCAAAGAATAGATGAGTAAATAAAAAAAATTACTTACCGTAACACTTTCCTTGCTCTTTTCAACAGTTGCCTCTTTTTCTTTTGGAGTACTGGCAGTTTCTGTAGGTGCAGGCTGTGCACTGGATGCAGGCTGGGATGATTTGTTTAATGTTTCTGTGCTAATTTCAGTGTCTGTTTCTTGCTGTGTTGCCGTGGCTATAATGAAACAAATAGAATTAAAATAAAATAAGAAATGAGAGTGCTTGCCAGGCTAAGTTCCCTCATGAATAGGTTGACAGTTAAACAGTTTACAGTAGGTTCTACATATTCACAAATTCTGTATCCACAGGTTCAACCATCCACAGCTTTAAACTATTTGGGAGGAAAATCCCAAATACAAATCTTGAATTTTCCCTTTTATATAAGGGACACCACTGCATGTAATGAGAACTGATCATCATGGATTTGGGAATCCACAAAGGATCCTGGAACCAAACCCACTGTAATTGTAAACACAGTAGTTGGTTACCTGATTGCGTGCAGGACTTCATATGTTCTGGCCAGTGAGCTTGCTGACAAGGGTAATCGCAATAGCTGGTGTTCCAACAGCAATAGAAAATGGCCTCTTTTTTGCAGTTGGCACACCACTGCTTCTTCTTGGTTTCATCCACTGCCTGCTGCTTTTCCAGTTCTAGCTGTTTCTTCACTTCTGCAATTAAGCGATCTCTTTCCTGTTCTAAACTCTGCCGCATTTCTGCCATTGTGAGTTCTAGATAACAGATAAGTCTAAATGGTAAACTGCAAACTATCAATCAGAAATCAGCAACTTGCATAAGGAAAGGGGAATGGTTTAACGTTCAAGTCAAATTATTACAAATAAGAACTTAATTATCAAAAGAATAACCAAATTATTGAAAGAAAATTCATGAAATGAAAATAAAAAATACTTTTCTTTATAGCTTTTTTTAGTTTAATTAAAAGGTGGTTTTGTATGTTTTTGGTCTAGATTTGCAATTTGGGATTATAATACTTCATAAAAATCCATGATGAAAAGTAGTTATTTTATTTTGCTCAATATATACAAGCAATGCTGTTTTCTAAGCTGCAAATATTAGCTTTAGTATGAGTTGTGTTTGTGACTTTTGACTAAAAACTATGGCTTTCATGTCCTAACTATAAATGTGATTCAAACAGACAAATCTAACTAACAATGGGGAAATAATAAGCAAACAAAATATGCTTTAGTACAACCACGCTAGACAAATTTACAACAAATCTCCCTCATGATTTTAAAAACAACCAATTCACATTCATTTTTGAAACTGTAACTGATGCTTATTGTAGTTCAGGAAATAACATTGAATTGTTTAAGTCATCATAATAAACCATTGTATATCAGATTCTAAATAAAAGCTATATGACAGTATGCTCCATCTTATTTTCTACTGTTTTACATTAATATAAACATAATTTGTTCTATTATGGCTAAAATGACAGCATTGTCATTGCCTCTGAAAATAGGTGGCAACACTACAGTCATGTTGAATTGCATTTTTAGTACCTAGATTGTGTTTCATTTCTGAGAGTTCTTGCTGATGTAACCACTGAAGTTTTTCTATCTCAATTCTCAAACGACGAATCTGGAATATAATTAAGACCATCACTGAATTAAACAACTTTTAATGTGACAGTTAAAAAATTAAATCTGAGTATGTTTGCTCATGGTCACAACAATTAACTAGAGAGGGTCCTTGAGGCTCAATACCGAAATGGTGGTGATGGTTGCTTCTTCTGAATGAAGGGAAGGTATTAAACCTGTTTGGACTTGCATGCCTCCTCTACATACATACGCAAATGCTCACTAATTTCTCTGGTTCTCTGCCATAATCCCTTATGGTAGAAACAGCATGAAGACTATGGAGTGCCTTCTATAAACATCAGCTAGTAAAATAACTATGCCCTTATCTGGAAAGGGGCATCCCACTTTCAGTGGTCTATAATCTGGTAACTTCCGTAGCAGCTAACTGCAGTGTGATGTACATAGGAATATCTTTGAAGACGCCCAGGGAAAAAAGCTAGATAAGACTGCAACAGCCAGTGTGAACACATGAACCAGAAAGGACTAATCAGGTAACTCATACTGACCTATCCAGCTATACTGGCTGGATAGGTTTTGAGGCCTAGTCCAAATTGCTGGTTTTAGGTATTAACCAGAGTCATTAAGGCCTCAATATTCAACAAAATGCCTCTCCATTGATGAACCTGCCTGCCCCCTGAGATAACAATCACCAAAACATTTTTTTAAAAATAAAGAATTGCCTCTTTGTCTTTGTTCCATAGCAATCCATCAAATTAAAAAAAAAATGAAGAAAAGGGGGCATGCTGATTCTACAGAGATATCTGAACCTATATGCAAGTACTTATTTTAAATAGCAGTTTTATAACCTGCAGCTCAAAAAATCATGAAACACTTTTTAATTGACCAATTCCATGAATTAACTTAAGCACAGAACTGATTAAAATTTACTGTCAAAATATGACTGCTGTGACAGTATTTACATAGTTGTTTTTAGTTGTTACAGAAATTAGAAAAAGCACACAGTTAACCTTAACAAAATTCTAATGGTAATCAGAAACAATGCTTTACAAGGGGTGAATAATGGACTTTTATACCACAGTCCAATTGCTAAATCAGCAACAGCAGGCCTACCAAATCAATGAAAATTACTGAAATGTTGATTTACCATTCAACAATTGATTCAATTCAGTATTTAGTTGGACCTAACAACTACAGTTAGGCCCTGATATGTCCAAAAGTGAACAAAGGGGTAACTAAGAGGGAGGTAGGGACAGTTGGCAATATGCGCTCCGACACAGCCTCCACACCAAAACTGGCACTAAATTGAGTTATTTCCCACCCCCCACCCCTTAAACCATATTAGAATATCTTTAAATTAAAATGAGAATCCATTAAGAAGAAATGATTCACATCTAGCAGATTTAAAAAGATTTAAAAAGAATGCTCTACATTAGGAATGTTTCAATTCCCTCTGCCTTTACACCTTTAAGTGCATGAGTCAGAAATAAAATTACACCACCAAATTAACTGCTGGATGCATAATCAGAAATATTCAGTAATTGGTTTAATATTCATTTTATTTTATTATTTGTAAGTTTTAAACTTCTGTTGTTTTATGGCACAAATTATCCAGGAAACTTTTATTATAGGGTATCTTCGCACAATTAAAATTCGTGCGCCAGCTGCAACCATACCACGTGAAGTCGGATCTGGCCATGGTGGTCCACGCCTTAGTCACCTCCAGATTGGATTACTGTAATGCACTCTACGTGGGGCTGCCCTTAAGACGGCTCGGAAATTTCAATTGGTTCAGCCAAGTTACTAACTGGAGCGACTTACAGGGAGCGGTCTACCCCTCTGTTTAAGGAGCTCCACTGGCTGCCGTTCATTTTCCGGTCCCAATTCAAGGTGCAGGTTCTTACCTACAAAGCCCTGAACAGTTTGGGACCCGCCTACCTGCATGACTGCATTTCTGTTTACGAACCCACACAATCTCTTCAATCATCTGGAGAGGCCCTGCTCTCGCTCCCTTCGCAGGAGCGATTGGTGGGGACGAGGGAGAGGGCCTTCTCTATGATGGCCCCCTGACTCTGGAACTCACTCCCCAAGGATATCAAACAAGCCCCCACATTGGTAGTCTTTAGGAGGAGCCTGAAAACATGGCTGTTCCAGTGTGCCTTCCCTGAATAAAGGAAACAATGCCCTGCTCTGATCAATTCCCTGCAAAATGTCTTCAGAAGCACTTTAACTCCCCGTTGAGTTGGTCTCCCTACATTATCCTTTAAAACCCTCCTGCTTAGATACATTCTGTCTCTGTTCACGCCCAGTGTTTATTTTAAATTTTTAATCTATTACATCTGGCCCGGCCATAAGATTTTTAAATTTGTGTGTTATTGCTTATATGTGAGTTATATTAATTGTACTATTTTCTTTGCTTGCTGCTTTGTTGTTTACTGATGTGTTGTTGGGCTTGGCCTCATGTAAGCCGCCCCGAGTCCCCTTGGGGAGATGGTGGCGGGGTATAAATAAAGTATTATTATTATTATTATTATTATTATTATTATTACATTTCAGAAAAAGGCAATGGCAAGCACCTCTGAGTATTCCTTGCCTAAGAAAACCCGATAAAAATGGAGTGCCCATAAATGAAAGCATATATGCACCCATAAATGGTATAAATGCAATCTGGAAAGGATAGCTTTTTAAAAATAGACAAAATAATTCAGTTATTTTATAAACAGATTTTAGACTTTTGATTAGATAGCTATAATTTTCCCACTACACTTTGAACAAGATAGCCACCAAATATCTTGCTCTTTCCCCCTCCTTATCAAGTGAAATAGAAATGAGAGAATTACAAGTGAGAATGGGTAACCAAGGAAACAAAAAGAAAAATAAGGTTTCTTGTATCCTCTTAACTACCTGGTTGTCATGCTATCTTGTAAATATCACCTCTCTCAACAGAAGGTGAAATGTAACAGACTTACGCCAAATTTGAGAAGACTGCATTTTGAATTGAGTCAGTGAAACCTAAACTGGGGCTATGATATGTTTTTGGTTCAGTAAACGAGTTCTAGAAGGAATATAATTTAGCGTCAGGAGTGTTGGAAGGAGAATCCTGGAAAATACTAGTTTGCCATGCATTTCAGGAAATAGTGTTGCTATGCTGACATCTTTGGGAGAGTGGTACTTTTCAGTAAGAGAACCCTAGTTAAATTCCACACATCATTGTGCCTGTTTCCTACAGCACCCACACATAATTTTCACAGTAACTGATGTAAGATCAGCCAAAGAATCAAGGAATCCACAACATGTTTAAAAAGTAGAGTTCTATGTGTATTTAAAATATTGTATTTGTGTTTTTTAAAAAAGAAAGGTGAACTGCTGATGGCAAGAGATACTAACCTCAGCAATTGTGCTTCCAGTGGTATTTTTTGAAAGATCATTGTATATTTCAGTCATTGTTCCTTTTATGGCATCCATCATCTGTTAAAAGAAGTTTATGAATAAATTAAATGTGGGTTTACTTTTAAAATGTCTTTATTCTGGGAAAGTGCCTTAATTTTTGCTTACATCAAGCATGATAAAAAGGACTGGCATATATTTTTTTTCTTTGAATAGATTTTGTAAATCTCATATTAACAATTTTCTATATAGGATATAATTACAAAAGGAACCCAGCAAACCACACTGCATGTCACATTATGTTGGCACCTACAACTTCTGTGTTCCATTTATCATGGACAGAAGTGGATAACCCAACTGGAAATTTTGTACTCAGTTATATATAGGATCTCTGCTATACCTTTCTCAAAGGTCTGCTCCTAATCTTTCCATAAATAAATTTCCAAGAATCAAGCAAAAAGTAAAAATGCCCTCAGGACCACTAAAAATATACATAAATGTGCATATTTTATTTACAGATGTCTTGGATTTGTATGCAGCACTGAACTGCTTAGAATACCAAGTTATCACGGAAAACCATTACAAAATATGTTGTGTCAATGGCCAGTCATTTGGATGACGTGTGGCTTATCACATTGTTGCTCAATCTGAAATCTATACATTCTCTCCACATTGTGTTATATTGCAATTTTGACATGTGCTTGTAATAAATTTGAGCATTCAAATAAAATTCCTATGGTGGGTCTCACAATTCCCTACTGGCATCACTATACTAGTAAAGTATAAAAATGCAATCAAAATTCAAAGTTTTTTGCTTGCATACATCAGACCAGGCCATCTTAAACGTTTTCCATTCACAACCCCTTTCTGCATGATTTTTTTTACATGATCCCAAGTATGTAGACATATAAAATAGGTATAAATTAAATATTTACCAATAATAAATCAACATTTGCAAAGCTTGCTAAACATGCTGATTTTCCTTTTGCAGAGCACAGTTGAAGCATTTTCTGCGGAGTCCACAATAAACACTGCACGTTGTTGCTAACAGATTTGAGTAAAAGGGAGGTCTTCAGAAACCTTTTACTATTGCCAATTTTTTCATGACCCCAATACTGAACTAAGGAGAAGCCATTAGCAGTTGGGATCCACAGTTTAAGAAGCAGGCACAAAAAACAAAAATTATCTGCACAACCATTTACTTTCATTTTTTAGAGTCTGAATGAGTGCACCCTGGGAATCTATCAAAGCACCTACAATGCCAAATGCTGAGACAACATCATTTATGAGGTAGCAAAATGGATTGAACCCCTTTATAGGACTGAAGGGGGGGGGGGAGCATGTATAGCTCTAAACTTTTATGAATTGTACCCAAGCATTCAAAATGACAGGCATGCTGCATTCTTCAGGCTCCCCCATGTATAAGTTAATCCAGATGGTGTGAAAAGCAACTATTGCTACTCTTCAACAAGACCCCTCTGACCCAGGAAGTGCATGGTTAAAAAACTGTTGTTTGAGGTTGCTATTTTTCTATGAAGGTGATAATACAATCTTAGGCTGTGGAGAATAAAATAATTTTCCTCATTCCACAGCCCTTGGTTGGTTCCATCTCTTTCTTTCATTGGACCTCTGCCATAAAATCATATTTTCCACTAAGATTTTGGCCTGGTCAACTTATATTCAATACAAATGCTTGGAATAGCCATTCATTTGGGGGGGGGGGGGATTGCAAATGTTTCTCTAGTGAACTGTATATATGAATAATACTAAAGAAATAGCTATATATAGTTATGTCAAAGTTTATGGGGCTAGTAATATTGAGATATATCCAGGAAATATCAGGCAGGCTAAACAGACACACATTTAGGTGAGCAGCATTTGGATTTTTTCCAACCCTGTCTCAAACCTCAAGCTTATCTTTTTGGAAAACAAAGACAGGGGGGAAAAATATTGAGTCTAGCTGCACATTAGCTGCCAGTTTGAAATACGGCTGTAAATGTTCTTCTGTGCACTTAAAGGTTAACTCTATCCACATAAAAGCATGGGAATACCACTTAAAAGAGTGGCTAACAGGTTCTGTTGCATATTAGTCAATGTATTAACTTCAAAGATAAGCTTGTAGGAAAAGTCTTGATGTTTTCAAACTTACTTTACTAGTATACTTAGCAATATCTGCAGCCACATCTGCTGAAGCTGTTGCTATCGGCAAGTCTGTATTAAGTGAAGATGAGAGTGTACTTGCTGATCCAGAACTGGTTACTATAGAAACAGGTTGGGTGCTTGTAACCAAGGTGATGGTAGATGTGGAAGTACTCTGAGTAATTTCCTTTTGCTGCACAGCTAAGGATACAAAATAAATCCAACGTGATCACTATATATTTGGTGCATTTGAAAAATAAAAAACCCAAGTGATATAAATTGCTCAAACCTAAACCAAACCTAAATATCTGATGGATTGATGGATTTGTGTATGATGTCACACAAATGGTGATGTATCATGCTTTGTGACATGATGCGGCCACAGCTGTTTATATATGCTAGAGCAGGGGTCCTCAAACTAAGGCCCGGGGGCCGGATACGGCCCTCTAAGGTCATTTACCCGGCCCTCGCTCAGAATCAACTGAAGTCTAAAATGACTTGAAAGCACACAACAACAACAATCCTATCTCATCAGCCAAAAGCAGGCCCACACTTCCCATTGAAATACTAATAAGGTTGTATTTGTTAAAATTGTTCTTCATTTTAATTATTGTATTATTTTAAGGGGGGGGGGTTGCATTACAAATGAGATATTTGCAGTTTGCATAGGAATTCATGTTTTTTTTTTTTTTCAAATTATAATCCAGCCCTCTCAACAGTCTGGGGGACTGTGACCCGGCCCTCTGTTTAAAAAGTTTGAGGGCCCCTGTGCTAGAGCATCAAAATTTAAGGCAAGTTATTTAGAAACTTAAAAGTCAGTATGATATAGTGATTTGAATACTGGACTACAACCCTGGGAACTAGAGTTCAAATCTCTGCTCAACTATTCAAATCCAAATGATATACATTTTCAGGTATTTATAAAATAACAAATAATGTGACGTTCTTAAATACAATAACCACTGCAGCAGTGGTAATGCACTAGGAAAGGTGCTGAATACCTTTCACTGCCTGCCTTGTCTGGTATCTTGTTCCTTGGGAAGACTGAGGCTGTTGCTGCTGATTCTGCTGCTGCTGTTGCTGCCTTTGCACTTTCTGCATATGCCATTTCTGGGAAGAAGTCTGAAATTTGTTTGAAGAATTCCAGACTACCCGCTGGACAGCTGGGGCAGTTTCCTTTGGTAGGAGCGGCCTCTGCTTTTTCACTGGGCTCCCTGTGGCTGCAGCTGGAGTGCTGGCTGTGGAAGTAGTGCTAGTTGTGGCCGTGACACCAGCTGGAGGGGTTTGGGATGCCGATCGAGTAAGCACCTGAGTTTCAGCAGGAGGTTGGCTGCTCACAGCTGAGGAAGGTGCCGTTTTAGAAGCAGCTAAATGAGAAGGAAAACCACAACAATAATTTTTACCAATAATTCAGTTACTATATTGTCCAGTTAGTGAAAGGAAATGGGAACAGATGTCATGTAATACATATACCCATTACGCACAACCGATACTTTTCTATGAGGCAAAAGTTGTATCGTTCACAGCTGACTTTGGAAGGCAATTTATAAGTGCTACAGCTGCAAAAGTTATCTTTGGGCCTGCAAAGAAAATATAACCCAGCAAAAGCTAGTAAAAGGGGAATTTCGCCATGCATACATTTGCTTTAAGGGCTTACCTATTTGGATGTGTGGCAAGCTATTCATAACCTTTTGTTCTAGTACTTCCATCTCCAGTAGTACTTCCATTACTATTCCTGAACTATTCAGGCTGATCATTCAACAGTGTTGATGCTTTCACATCATTCATATGTCTTATATGAGTTGGCCCTTTCCTTTTGCTTTACAGAGTAAGGTAATATGTAGATCCTGGAATATTATCATGAGTATTATTTATTTTATTATTAAACATGAAACTGCCTTCTTGTCTTATTAAAGTTCCAGCAATCTACTGCAACAGGCACCATTGGACTAACTGGGCAATGCTAATTTCAAAAAGAGGAAAAGCACAGAAACATGTCCAGATTGGATTCATTGGCCATGAAGTTACCATTTATGCTGCATTTTCTTTGTAAATTTTAAGGAAAAAATATAGAACAGAGTTGCCCTGGATTATCATTTAATCTAATAATCTTAAAACAAAATGTGTATAGATATTCATATTAAGCTTACTGGCAGGTAACGAAAAGTAATGGATCTCCAACTAAGTTCATAAGTGGAATAGCCATCAAGTGTCTTTTTGGAATTTTAAAACCTCTCTCTTCCACAGGCCTAACCAGCCAGTTTTAATCATGAATTTTAAACTCGTGTCCTGTGTTTTAATTGGCCAATAATGAAAGGACCAATGCAGTGACATCTCCGGCTCACCCCATTTGGATATCAAACAGCATGCCAACGCCTTAAATCAAGAAATAGTTTTCTAAGATCTACAGAGATACTCATAGGAACACCTCAGCAAGTGAGAGTGCAAAAGTGGCAGGCTAAAACCCAGCACGTTGATCAGTCGCTAATACCGGGAGACTCCCTCCTGAGAACACAGAAGACTGGGTGACTTGGAAGGCGCTGAACAGACTGCGCTCTGACACCACGAGATGCAGAGCTAACCTTAAGAAATGGGGCTACTAAGTGGAGCCCACAATATCTTGTGTGGAGAAGAGAAAACCACAGACCACCTATTACAATGTAGTCTGAGCCCTGCCACATGCATAATGGAGGACCTTCTTATAGCAACACCAGAGACACTCCAAGTGGCCAGCTACTAGCCAAAGGGCATTTAATAGAGCCAAGATTTTAAACATTGTGGTTTTTAAATACATTACAACTTTATCCTCGGTTCACTTCTGATATGATAAATAAATATCTTTGTTCTGTATATTTCAATATATTTCAATGACAAGTTCTACTTTCCATTTCAGTCAGCTGATGCCACTCCAAATGCATGCATTCTGTAATGGGCAGATGGGGGCTGAATCCTGGTGAGAGAAAGGCTCTATGGATCAGTGGTTCTCAAGTCTGGAAATTGTGTAAGCACTTGATGGATGGAGATTGCCCCCCCCCCTTTTCCGGAAAGAACAGGTGCTTAGCTGAATGGCTCAGGTGAGCACATCCTGCAGGAGTAGAAGGCAGGAACAAGACTTTTGAGGGATTGGCCCCAGCCACATGGTGCCTGGGAGATCTTTTGTTTTTATAATCCCTGCCTATAGGAGAGAATTGGAAGACCAACCCAACAAATAAAATACAGATTGTTAGGTCTTTCTCTACTCGGGAATATATATAAATGTTATTTGTATCCCACCCCCAAGCAAAAAGTGGGTGCTAGAAATAATATCATACAAAAGCTGACTGGCACAACCTGGGGATCATAACCAGGCACAGTGAAGACATCTGCCCTTGCGCTATGCTACTCTGCTGCTGAGTATGCATGCCCGGTGTGGAACACATCTCACCCCTCTAAAACAGTAGATGTGGCTCTTAATGAGACATGCCGTATTATCATGGGCTACACCACTGGAGAAATTACACTGTTTAGCCGGTATTGCACCACCCGACATCCGCTGGGAAGTAGCAACCAATAGTGAAAGGACCAAGGCAGTGACATCTCCAGCTCATCCCCCGTTTGGATATCAGCCAGCATGTCAATGACTTAAATCAAGAAATAGTTTTCTAAGATCTACAGAGACATTTGCTGGGACACATCAGCAAGCGAGAGTCCAAAAGTGGCAGACTCAAACCCAGAACCTCAACCAATGGCTGATGCCAAATGAGAGACTCCCCCCTGGGCACACAGAAAACTGAGTGACTTGGAAGGCACTGAACAAACTGTGCTCTGGCACCACGACATACAGAGCCAACCTTAAGAAATGGGGCTACAAAGTGGAATCCATGACACGCGAGTGGGGAGAAGAGCACCTGCTGCAATGCAACCTGAGCCCTGCCACATGCACTTTCTTGCAGCAACACCAGAGACACTCCAAGTGGCCAGCTACTGGTCAAAGGACATTTAAACATCTACCAAGCTTGCAAACTTTGTGTTTTGTTTGTTTGTTAAAAAATGCAATGCAATTGTTTGGTCTGCCCCTGACATGATAAATAAATAAATTCCACCCCCTCTCCCAAAAGGGACTCAGGGCAGTTTACAACTACCCTGAGATATACTATGTCCAACAGAAAAAAACAACACATGGAGACAAGGACAAGGTTGTTTTGTACTTATAGCAATGGAATGTCTGGAGACCCAATGAGCACTAATGCTAATTTCTTTTAGGTGCTAAATTAAAGCACAGCTCTTTAAAGCATACCTGTACATGTTTTTAACTGTTTCAGTCTTCTCTGCAATTTCAACTACTTTAAAAATCCTATTAAAATTATTTCTCATTTTTATTTAGAATTTCTTAAATTGGTTACACAGTTTTAATTATATGCTGCCCTGAGATCTCATGATAGAAAGTGGAATAAAATATTTTAATAAATAAAAAATAAATAACTCCCCTCTCATGTGATATGAGGATTACAAGGACCAACAAAAGGTGTCTGTATCTTGGGCAACACAGAAAGATGCTTACTACATTGGTGGCTGAAATTAACAGAAGAGAAGATGTATCCTACCTTCCTGCTTAGGAGGCAATTCCTTGGGTTCTTTTCTGTTTTTCCGTCCCTCACGTCCACACTGGTCTTCTCCAAGGTCAATTACAAGCTCACTTTCTGAATCAGAGTCCAGACCAAGATGTACTGTTGGAGAGTCTGTCTCATCTTTACCTTTTAGCCTCTCTTTTGTGGGATGGGACAAATTTTTCCCTTTTTCAGAAATATCTTTATCAGAGTCTGCAGTTGCCTTGTCTTTAACAGGAGTATCTGTTTTCTCAGCCACTGAGCCTGAACTTTTAATTTCTTCTTTTTCTTCATTTGGAGTCGATGGCTTTGGCTTTTTTTTCGCAGCCAAGTTTTCCTTGTCATTTCTTGCACCGTCTTTATCTTCTTCTTCCTGATCGTTCTTGGATTTCTGCTCATCGTCACTGATGTATTCACTATCACTGGATTCTGACTTTTCGGAATCCTCTGAATCACTATGTTCTACTGCCACATCTTCAGATATTTCATTTATCCCTATTTAGAAAAGAGTAGCATTATACTGACAGAAATTACAAGTTTTAACTGTTTCAGTTTTCTCTCTAACTTCAACTTAAACTACTTAATATGCTTTTTTCCTAGCCCTAACCTTGAGGGGAAACTATTGTAGTGTACTATTAAAACGGGTTTAGAAGAATTGCAAATGTTTTTATTGTGTGCCTTCAAGTAGTTTCCAACTTATGGAGTCCCTAAGTTGAACCTATCACAGGGTTTTCATGGCAAGATTTCTTCTGAGGCTGAGAGAATGAATTGCTCACAGTCACTCAGTCGGTTTCCCTGGTGGAGTGAAGATGTAGACTCAGAGACTTAATCCAATGCTTAAACTACTACAGCACTCTAGCTTTCAGGATGACACTACAGGTAATATATAATACCTCTTTGAAGGAGTTGTACTAGCTTCCAAATTGTGAATACAGTTTAAGATATTTCTAAATAATAAAAAAACCCCTTGGGACTTAGTTCTCCTATCTAGACCACCTCAATGCTTTAAGTCATCTGTAAAAGTGTTCCAGGTGTGTGAAACCATGCACACCTGAGATCCACTGTTGTCTGGAGAACAACATTGTGTACAGTGGTGCCTATTATTCCAAGCATTCTTCCTTCTGGTATCAGACATGCACTGAGTTTCTATTCTTATGCACATTTTAAATAAAAACAAATTTATGCCAGTTTTCCTAAAGATAAACATGCATTTATCCAACTGAACAATGTAGATATAATATATTTAAATATTTGTGCACATTGTTTTGTAATTTTTATACGGAAGTGCTTAACAAATACTTCTTAATACAAATAAATTCGTGTCATACCCCCACAAAACTTCACGTATGGAGGGAATTTAGTCCATAGTGTGTTCCTAAGGAACAAAAGTACTTGTGGATCTGCCAAAACTGCCCATCCAATAATAATCAATAGGGGCACACCATATGTTTAGGAACTTCTCCCCGCCCCCTATTATACTATCAAAATATATAATATATCCCAACTTTAAAAGCCTATGTAACAGATCATATTTTAAATGGTGTTGCCTACCTAGCTGTGCTTTACAGCTCTCTATCGTCTTATCGAGATTAAGCTGAAATCTGCTGCGAATTTGCCGCTTCGGTGAAATCAATGGCACAGGTGTGGATTGCTGCTGTACTGATTCACTTAACTCTTTTAAGTCCATCTCAGCTTTGCTGCGATCTAGAACATTAAATAAAATGCATTAGGTTGAAACAAAAAATGAGCACTTCAAGAAAAAAAACACTAAAATTCCACAATAACAAATTTTGTACATTTTAACTGTTGACTACTACGTTAAACTGCAATTTGGTGGCATGGGTGAAATCCCATGAACAATTAGCTTCCTTCGAATGCCAATACGGTGAATAGGAATTAATCAGTGTAACCAACTACAGAATTGCAGCCAATGAGCACAAGCCACACTGTCTACTGCTGCTGAGAGAGAGAGTTCAATTCAAGTACAATCAATATCCTTGATTATGCCATTGTGGAAATTATGTAAAACTACACTTGAACATAATGACTTGTCAAAGCCTATGTTAGAGCTCTCACCAAATCCAGCCATTAAATTTAGCGAAGATTGACCAAATTATTTTTAAAGGACTCCTTGAAGATTGTTCACTTGAACAGCTAAAACTGACGTAAACCAAAGTTTGGAACAAAAAGCCTTATTTGTCAAGACTTTAGTTAGGGGTGTGAAAAATAGAATTCAATTCATAGGTTACTATGATTGAAACGATTGCCCCAGTAACACCGTTTCTTCTTTCCTCCTTTAAATTGACTCTTTTTATAAACGCTTTCCCCAACCTGGAATTCTTGGACTACAAATCCAACTGCTGGGGTGCTGCAATTTGTTATCCCCAAACCTGTTGTGTTGAGAAAGGCTGTCCTGAAGCAAAGTATGAACTGACAACAACAAGAAGTCTACCTTTCTAAAACAATTAGGGGTTATCACTGGTTTGTACTCCCCCCTCCTTCTCTCCCAACACCTACCACCCTAGCAATATGTAAGTTGTTCTCGCCAAACTCCATAAATTACAAAATTTTAATAGGGATTTGAGGGTTAAACCCAATTACTAATCTCAGGTAGACAAATCTATCGAAATGAATGGAATTTAGTAAGTTAGTGCTATATTTCTATTGCTTTTATTCTCATTTTTGTTCCAAGTACAGGGCAACTTCAGTAGCTGCTCTGCTAGAGTTCTAAGGCAATCAGGTTTTTGTTTTGTGAGAGAATATTAAAATGTTAGTTTCACCAACAACCTGAAATGATGGCAGCATATGAAAAGCATAATCTCTTGATTCCATTGCATGAATGAACTAGCCTCAATGCTGCAGAATACCATGCAAGTGTGAGATTCTTCTTTGAAGGAAAAATGGTGAAGGAAACCAGTAAAAAAAAAATTTCCCTCACCTTAAGAGAACTAAGTTTTCTTGAAGGTGGGCTTGAACTGCTCTATCAGGCCTCTGGATAGGTGGGGAGCAGGCATCCAAAACCAAGAAAAAGAAAAGCAGCCCAGTCTCAACATTTTGATTATTTTTAATAGGGGGAAGTAATACCTAATGATTATGAAGTCAACAATTTTGATGAAATTATTTGGTAGTATCTTGAGAATACTGCCCTGAAATACATCTAGGGAGCAAGGGGTCTATAACTGCTGGACCGTATGCACCTCCCCTGCAAGGCTGATCTACTATCTTACTTAACAAGGTCCAATGTACCTCTAATGAGGGTTAGGTAAAGGTTTCCCCTGACATTAAGTCTAATCGTGTCCAACTCTGAGGGGTGGTGCTCATCTCCATTTCTAATCTGAAGAGCTGGCATTGTCCGTAGACACTTTCAAGGTCATGTGGCCAGCATGACTGCAAGGAGTGCCATTACCTTCCTGCCAAGGTGATACCTATTGATCTACTCACATTTGCATGTTTTCAAACTGCTAGGTTGGCAGAAGCTGGGTCTAACAGCAGGAGTTTACCCCGCACCCCGGATTAGAACCGCTGATATTTTGATCAGCAAGTTCAGCAACTCAGCAGTTTAACCCACGCCACCACCAGGGGGCTCTTTTAATGGAGGTCAATCCAGTCCTTTCAGAGGCCTAGAAAGCTAAATGCTTTCCTATTGCCCTTCCTCCCTACCTTGGTTGATGTTTTCTTACTTCCTTATCATCCTCCACTTTTCTAAGCCTTAATAGGTTGCTTCATAGTTGATCTCTTTTCTATCTGTTCTCAGAACCCTCTAGTTCAGTGGTTCTCAACCTGTGGGTCCCCTGATGTTTTGGCCTTCAACTCCCAGAAATCCTAACAGCTGGTAAACTGGCTGGGATTTCTGGGAGTTGTAGGCCAAAATACCTGGGGACCCACAGGTTGAGAACCACTGCCCTAGTTATTCCCCGAGTCTCAGGCAATTCTGTCTTCCCTTCCTTCTCCTTTCATCTACTAAATAGTTTTCCTCCTGTTTTAAATCTCTGTCAGTAAACCTAGCCCTAAGCTTGTTCTATGGCCAACCCCTATGAAGCAGCTAAAAAAAATCTAATTCAACTACATTCACATTAAAACTGAAACAAATTTAATGACTACAGGTGTTTGGTAAATCAACATTTAAATTTAAATGAAATGCCTGTACTTAAAACCTTAATCAGAATGAAAAATATCAACCATAATTTTGTTCCTTCCTCCTCCATTTTTTATTTTGGCAGAGAAGGAAACAACTACATTCATTTTTGTGAACTTCTTTTCACAAAAAACCCTCCCCTTTTTATAGCTGAATGGTTCAATATATGGATCCCAGCAAAATTCCCAGGGTTAAAAGCTTTGAAATTTAGTTTTCTATGACAGATGACGAGTTTGTATGTGATGTCTGGTACCTAACATAGGAGGGCCATCTAAATGCAAGTGAGACCACCCCCTTCCAAGCTACCTTTTCTACTTGATCATTTGAAATCTTCTAGCCTTGGAATTAATTTTTTAAAAAATTACATTCTATTACTGACCAATGCTAAACCAAGATTCCTGAAGCCATTTATAATTTATTAACCCACCTCGATGGTGAATTCAATAATATAGAACACATGCAAGTATGATTTCTTAAAAAAATATCCACAGTACTTTAATTCCAATTTAGAAGGAGTGCATTGTATTTGCAATTATTACTAAACTAAAGTGCTCCTTAATTTGCTTTGTGTGAAAAACCCTTCTTTATTGAAAAATACTTATTTACTTTGGTTATTTTACATTAATGCCCCATACTTACTCTGATAAATTCAAGGTGATATAAATGCTCTATTCCCCTTCCCTTATCCGCAGAATACTAATGTGAAGAAACAGTGAATGGAGCAAAATCATCCAACAAGTTTCATGCTTTGGTGGGGGATGTGAATCTGAATCTGCCAGTTCAAACACCTTAACCACATCTTAATTTTATTCATAGCAATCTGTTTTATGGGTTAAGTCACCAGGCTTGCAATGATTTATCCATTTTCATCACAGGCACTGAATTAGACATATTTAAAGTTAAATAGGCTTTACATACTATATTTTAATGAATTCATACAATCTTTTAATGAATAGCTTTGGTACAAAGTCTCTATTCAGGTTGGGACTAACAATTCAATTTAAGCTATTAAAGTAATATGTAAAGTATAGGAAAAAGTTGTGTGGCTATGTTCTCAGTGATACAGTTTTAGTAATATGGATTCTTTATTATTTTTCTAATAAAGAACAAAGGAGTAAGGAAGATCACTTCTTGAAATGGCAAGACTAAACTACTCTTGAGAGTAGTTGAGAGGGGGCTAGATGTTGTATTTTTTCACTGGACACTATAGCAATGTGATGGCCTATAGCCCTAATTTTAATTCACTGTGTCTCCCCCACCTCACCTCTGATTTCTAGTAGTGCAGCGCATCTACAGATATCATTTTGCTTTCAGAATCCTACCAGCAAAATATACTTAAACTGTGGCCTACCTCTAGTATGCTTTATTTGCTTGTAGAATATAAAATTAATTTCATCTGTAAGGTTATGTGTTTCATGTTATATTTATATTGCATTTTGTGTGCCTGCTTTTAAAGCTTTTCATGCTTATAGCAAAGACCACTGATGAAAATGGAAGCCACTTTTGAGAAATTCAACTCACCTAGATTAAGATTAAGAATGCTTCCTGGAGTAGATGTTCTTTCATGCTTAGTAGCAGTGGGTGTTGAAGGAGAGAATGGTTTGGGGCTGCCAGATAAGCTTCCAGCTTGGCCTGCTCTTGTTGCTGCTGGAGAAGCTAAAAAGCAGAGAGAGATGGGGGAGGGGTGGTTCACAATATGAGATAGTAAAGGAAAAAGCTTTCTTTGACATGCTTTCCTCCCCTTTGAACAGAAAATCTTTATATTATTGCACAAACTATGTTTGAAATTCCATAGAATTTCAGAAGCATTTTGTCATGTAGCATTGAGATGGTGGGGAAAGAACTTTTGTTCAAAAAAATTGATGGGGATGAGAAGCAGAGAACAAGAAACACGGTCCTTTGAAACAAAGCTGAGAGTACAAAACTGTTCTTCAACAACTTTGTTGGAAAAATGAATGTAAGAAAAAAAGACAGACACAAAAAATGGTATTTTTTCCCCAAAGGTTTGACGTCAAAGGCACAATTCACATCTATTAATGCCAATTAAAGAGACATTAACTAAATCACGATCACAATGTTCAACTCTGCATATGATACAAGGTACTTACTTAAACAACTAAATACAGTGGATCCTTGGTATATACACTGGCATAGTGAAATGGTGTCCCTTATAGAAAATGCAAAATCAAAGTATGTAATTTGGATTTTTTGTAAAAAATAAAAAAAAAACTTTCAGGTCTTGGATGCCTGAATCTGTGGATGCCAGATCCATGAATATGGAGGGCTGTAGCATCCACATTGCAGAGTGGAGTTTATGCAGGGATTATGCGTGCCTAACACCTGCAAATGTGGAGAGCAGACTGTACTACAGACTTGTCAACTTCATCATTTTAAAAGGATATGTTCAATTTCCTTTTCTTCGGCCACTTCTGATCTTGTCTCTTAATTCTAGTAATTTAAGTTTCATTAAGGTTTTATTGCAATCAATTTTTCTTTGGGTCACAATGAGGCATATTATTTGAATGAACAACTGAACTTGCTAGATCACTGCTGGGAATCAAGCAGCCTTCCAGATGTGACTGGACTGCAATCCTCAACTTTTGGCGAAAACTGGTGGGCATTGCAATCCATACCTATGATTAGCCCAAGAAAGCCTGCACAAATTAAATACCTTTGTACATCTGAGCTCCCATAGGTTTGAGCAAGAGTAGTAAAACACTGATTCCAAGATGTTGCTGTTTTGTAATTCTCATCAGTCCCTATCAGAGTGGTCAGTGATTGGAGGTGTGTCAACCCGTTCTGGATGAGGTTACATTCCTATTGAAAAACTGTGTTCACAGCTTGGGAGTGCTCCTGGATCCATCTCAGCAAATGTCAGCCCAGGTATATGCGACAGCTAGGAGTGCTTGCTTCGGCTGATACCCCAGCTGTGTCCCTTCCTAGAATTGGAGGAGCTAAAGATGGTGGTGCATACACTGGGAACCTCAAGGTTGGACTTCTGCAATGCGATTCACATTGTACCAAGTTTGGAAACTCATTCAAAACACAACAATAGACTAGCTATAGGCACACCCAAGAATGAACACATCACATACAGTCACTCCACTGGTTGCCAATTAGTTTCCGGGCAAAGTACAAAGTGTTGGTGTTGACCTTGAAAGTCCTACACAGTTTGAGTGCAGGATCACTTCCTCCTGTGATTCCTACAGGATCACTTCCTCCTGTACAATCCTCCCTGGACACTTAGGTCCTGTGGAGGAATGGCAACTCCAGCCTGTCAGAACTTGACTAGCAACTGTCACCCAAAGGACCTTTACATCAGCTGTCCCAAGACTATGGAACAACTTGTCGGAAGAGCTAAATCAGCTGTCAGAATTTTAAGATGCAACTGAAGATCCATCTCTTCCAGCAGGCCTACCTATTCAAATTCTAGATTGTGAATGTTAAGCTGGGTTGTAACTCTGTGTATCTTGTTATATGTATTTTAATAGTGTTATATCACCTTGTTTTAGCAATGCTGTACCCAGCCTTGAGCTGCAAGGAGAGGCAGGTAAAATATATTTCTTATTGCTATTATATATTATTATTAGTGACGATAGGCGATTTTAACATCTGGTAGCCATAGGTTCCACATCCAGATTAAAGACTAACGCATACTATTTACCATTTGGCAAATCTTGAATTCCAAAAGAGAAAGCAGCTTCTGAACATATTCAGAATCAATTCTTCAAAAACAATTATCCCATATTCCTACGATCCAAATTCTACTTTTATAGGCTACTTCAAGTATGAGATAATCATACAGTTTTCAAAAATGCACAACAGCCACGTTTACATAAAATAAGAAGCTAACTACAAATTATTTTAAATTTCACACACAAACTAATTATAACACTATTAGTATCATGCAGAAATAAAACAAAATTGAGGCATGCTGAAGGAAGAGAGAGGCATTTGTAATCAAACAAATGCAGAACCCTAATCTTTGATCTAGTAAGATTTGTCAGGTTACAATGCTGAAATTATGACATATCCTTAATTAATTGATCCAGTACAAAATATTTTGTTGTTGTTATTGTTGCAATATTTGAGCATATACAAGACAATAGGATACCTCCTTCCCTCCGAACAGAAAATATAAGAAACTAAAAACAGAGAAGGGCAAAATGAGCTATGCTGAATTCCAGTCCCAACCTTGTTAATCTACAATGCTTGTCAATGTGTTACTCATTTCAATGACACATATAACAGTTTTGACAAACAGCTCTTAGCCAAAATTGATGAAGCCCCAGGCATCATGTTGCCTAGATTATCTGAGCAGAATTATACTTGGAAACAAAAATATAGACAAAAGTATGTAGAGACCTCTCTCCTTGCTCTATAGACTAAAAAGTGTCTCCTACTTACTGGCCCAAATGATCAGTGTATATCATCCTGTAAATATCCTGAAGCCAATGAAACACATTCCTATCTACTCCTATGGATCCAGATATTCAAATTACTTTCTTAGTTCCTCAGCACATTGCCAATCTAGCTTGACTTCCTTTGTTAAAAATTGCTCTGGGTTCTTTCCTGGATCATATTTTCAATCCCTCCCAGGTGCCTCTGTACCATTACCATGGGCCACAACTTTCCCGGCCCTAAACCAATCTCATAATTGTTCCCAGGACAGTTATGTAGATTACTTAAGAGCAATGCTGCACCTGAGCCCAATGAAACACCTCCTGTTTTGATAATGAATGCTAAATTCTTTCCTTTCAAGCTTATAAATTTATAAGTTTGACTGATGATAAAGCTTGACTATGACAATTTATTCAGCAACTTGATTTTGGCTTCCCTTACCTGTGTTCTTATCAATGAAGTCCATAGACTCCTCACTGGCGCTAAAGTGACTGGAGGTTGTTTTTTTCTCTGCGTCCTGTTCAACATCAGATCCAGTGTGAACAGATGAATTGGTACTCATTGGGGAACGTGGCATGTCTGTTAGAGAAATCCTTCGTCCAGTACCACCACTGAGCATTGATTTGCTCATTAAAATCTTGGGTGATGCTGTCATATCAAAGTTAAGTTTTATTTTTTCTTGTTTGTCAGTCTTAGCAGTTCCGGCACCAGGATTTGAAGGATCTAATAACATTTGGTATTGGTTATTGGGAGTATATGGTGTCCGGAAAGGTGCATAATTAAAAACTCCAAATTTTCTACGGATATTCTCCACATAAACCTCCATCTCTTGCATTGCACTGTTGAATATGCTTTTAGTCTTTTTCACGGAAAAAGGTATTTCTTTAGACATGAGGTAGCAATTATTTACTGGAACCCAGGCCCTGTATACAAAAAAGTGAAATGAAGGGGAGGGGGAGAGATATAAAATTAATGTTGATGTAAATACCTTCTATGACTTAAGCATTCTATTAAATTTAATTGTGGCTCACATAATTCTACACATTTAGTACCAATGTACAAGCCTAATAGATAAATCCAATCCAGAAAATGTTAACAATTCCAGACTATGGAAACAGAGAGATAATATTATTCTGCTTTATTGGGTGGGTTTGGTGTTTGCTGCACAGCCAGCCTTGAAAGTGCCTTAAATATTCAGGTTAAGGGTCACTTCTGTTATTCATCAACACTATATCCCATCCAAGAATTTTGGGGGTTTGTGGAAAGAATATTGTTTTGTTTGTGGTTGTTGCTTGCCTTGATTAACCGCCAGGGAATTTGGGGGGGGGGGGGTTAGTAAGATTTATTCAGAGTGTGGTTTGCTTAAAAATAATCCAATGTGTTTTCTGAGTGAGCGGGGATTTGAACCCTGCCCACAGTTCAGTGGTCAAACCATTATACCATGCTGGCTCTCAGAAGATGAGCCTGAAGTACTTATCTCTTATGTTCACATGTCATAGTTCTGCTATGTCTTCTCATATGACAACCTTACAGAATCCTTTAAGGCAGTGGTTCTTAACTCGTGGGTCCCCAGATGTTTTGGCCTTCAACTACCAAAAATCCTAACAGCTGGCAAACTGTCTGGAATATCTGAAAGTTGTAGGCCAAAACACCTGGGGACCCATAGGTTGAGAACCACTGCTTTAAGGTTTTAATCCAATGTTAACCTGAGCCAGTGTAGACCACCTGAAATAAATGAAACTGGTCACAAGTAATATAAAAGTTCCAACTGATTCCAATAGATCAACTATTGTTGAGAACAGCTTTGAATTTATCCCTTAACATTTTTAGAACTTGTGACAAATCATGCATATTTTACATAAAAACACATGGTTTGGTTCCATGGTAACCAAGTACCTGTCATGAACATATTCTGTACAATATCATAATGGACCAAAATAAATTTAACTGAAATAAGAAATCAATCCTCTCAATTTTGTATCTATAAAAATCAGATACTGGTTTAATACATTTTTAACTATCAGTAAGGGGATACTGCCAACGTGACAAGAGGCAAATAAGAAATGCAATGAGTTGTGTATGAAAAAGGCTGAAGTATGTAGTACTGTATGTTCATAATAAAAAAGAACCACAAAGCAAAATGTAGCACAGAAACTACCATCTAATAAAACACCAAAAAAGGGTTGGTGAACTACTCAACCACCTTTTGATTGAACTCCCACCTGTCATGTTGACCAAAGAAACGAGCATCAACTTGACCATCTTTATCCCTCAGTGCTTTAGCAGGCCAGAATGGGAAACCTTTGAGTTTAGCCCAGACCAACGGGTGTGGATTGCTCTAGAGGAAAGTGCACAGTAACCACACAATGAAACATACGTTAAGCCACATATTACTTTCTCTTACTTCCAAGCAAAAAATATATGATTGGGTTGCTGTAAGTTTTTTGGGCTGTATGACCATATTCCAGAAGCATTCTATCCTGACGTTTGATTAACCGTTATTATGGGTTGTCATAGTGATCTGAAATTCACATGTACCCTTACTAAACACAGAAAATGCAGGTTTTCCTACACGACTGTATAGCTTGTTGTTCCATCATTTACAGGTTCTTCATAAATATTAGACCTCCATTTCAAACTACTCTTATCAAAGGCTACCCAAGATCCATCTTAATTTAAATTTTGGATCACTTTTTGAAGGTGGTTAAAACTAAGGCCTATTAAGGCATTTCTTTGTTGCTATTTGCCATCAAACAAGCTTCAGCTTATGGAAATTCCATGAGTGAGAGACCTCCAAGAGCCCCAATTATCCACAGCCTGATGAGGACTTGCCAACACAGGGCTATGACTTCCTTGATTGGCTCAATCATGTAGTTCTATCTCCCCCTCTCCTACTGCCTTCCTTTTTACAAAGCATTACTATCTCTTCCAATGGGTCACATTGTCTCATATGTCCAAAGTATGACAGCCTGAATTCAGGCTTTATCTACTCTAAGACCTATTAATTTGTCATGTTTCAGTTGATGGTATTGGCACAACCCTTCTCCAGTATCACGTCTTCAACGAATTTATTGTCGTCTTGTCAGTTTTCTTCACTGTGCAAATTTCACAATCATATATAGTAATAGGAAATACTGGATGATTCTGACTTTATTATTTAATGATATGTCTTTCCATTAGAGGATATTTTCCACTTCCTTCGTGACTGTCTTTTCAAGCTTTAGTCTTCTGATTTCTTGACTAAAATTTCTATTTTGATTACCCCATTATGCTGAATGGGCTCATAGGAAGGCATGTAAGAAAAATAAAGGTGTAGCTGCTAGTCCCATTTAGGATTCTGCCTGCACAATCAGTTCAAAAAATGGCAAATATCAAGTAAGTCTTTATTTTTATCTATATATTCTACTTTTCTTCCAAGATGGCACTCATTCAATGTATTTGTTTATTTCCTGCATTTGCAACCTAAGTATCATTCAAGATACTTGGGTGCGAGTATGATGCATGACATTTGCAAAAAGGTACTAACAGTGGTCTGCATGAGCTAAAAATGCCAAACATGGGCAGCCTTCATATCTAAGTAGCATCTATTTTTTTACCTTGTGTTTAAATTCTAGACAAAGGCAAATTTTTAAATTATGATTATATATTTATCACCATTGCTGTGACATTCACCATATCCACTGAAATACAAGAAAATCATGCAGCACGGGAAAAATTCTTCAACGTCTGAAGTAATGTGACAAAGTGAAATTTTTCCAATTCCTCTAGAACAGTGGTTCTCAACCTGTGGGTCACCAGGTGTTTTGGTCTACAACTCCCAGAAATCCCAGTCAGTTTACCAGTTGTTAGGATTTCTGGGAGTTGAAGGCCACAATATCTGAGGATCCACAGGTTGAGAACCAGTAATCTAGAGGGACAAAGCTTCTGCACCCTTGCTCCAGTGAAGTGGTTCTCAACCTGTGGGTCCCCAGATGTTTTGGCCTCCAACTCCCAGAAATCCAAACAGCTGGTAAACAGTCTGGGATTTCTGGGAGTTGAAGACTAAAACATCTGGGGACCCACAAGTTGAGAACCACTGCTCTAGAACCTAGAAAGCTTGCTTAGTATTTGTAAAAGGTATTTGTGAACTGGAAAAAGATTACACAGTTTTAAAATATTAGGCAAAAATATATATATAAACATGAACATTATGAAACTGAACATGTATGCAACTTGTTTTTACTTACACAAGGCTCACAAAACCAATTCTCTCTTTTTTGGCAAGCAGCTAAATAACATTCTGGACAGACTTCAATCTCATTCATCTGTAAAGAGAAAGATCAGCTACTGTAGGAGTTGTGTGTGAGAGTATATAAACCCATTATTCTATTCTATCCTGTCATCAGGGAGTAACATGACCAGCCATTCATAATTTTCTATTGCAGAGAATGATACATTTGCCAATTTTTCACAGTGAACATACTAATTCTTGTTGTTTCCAGAGTAGTGTCCTATCCAAAGAAGTGGGTTTATAGCCATGAAAGGTCATGCAAAAATAAAACCCATTATTCTTAAAGGTTCTGCCACATTCTTTTCTCCCTCTAAGCTCCTTTTTAAAGTAGATGTGCTGTTTGATACTGTCTGGACATTTTGGGCATAGACTGTTTTCAGCTTATCTAAAAGGGAGCCAGGTGCCCAAAAAACTATTAATTGTAAAGATTAATACAGTTTTAAACAAAATCTAAAATGTATTTCTATTCTAGGCTAGATCCTTGAAGAAGAACTGGTGGCAACATGACAGGAAAAGACAGCAAGAAAAGTAGAATTCTCTTTATGCAATGTTGGATACAGCACATAGCCCCATTACTGTGCTAAATCTACACCCATGTTTTCAAAAGCCACCCTAAAAATCCTCATTTGAGATTCTGTTAGCATGCAAATTATGATAGCTGTACAAAATATATGAACACACTGTTAATGAAACCAATGCCTCTTGCTCTAAATGTTGACATGAGCTGAAATGGGACACACTTGCTTCATGAGGCAAAGATTTCTATGTGTATATACTTCATAGCTCTCTCTCTTTCATATATGTAGTGGAATCCTAATAATTCTTTTCCAATGTAAGAAAATTTAAAACACCATTAAGGAGAATGATTAATCAGCATGTCTATAAAATATTACAGTCTTATATCTTTCGCAGCTACTGAATTTAAAAATCAGTTTTCAATTTCTACAACATTTTTCATATTTCCAGCATAGGAATCAGAAGAACAGAAATCGGTGATTGTGCTGTGGTGGGCTTCCATTCAGCATCTCTTTGTCCAGTATGAGAATGCAATACTAGATCAGGCAAGCCACTGATCATATCCACTATGGCTCTTCTTAAACTGATTTCTAAATTCTGTAGCTGTGAAAGATATATGACTTTCACATTTATTTATTTATGGTATTTGTATACTGCCCTTCTCAACCCCGAAGGGGACTCAAGCAGGTTCGGTGTTGGCAACAATTCAATACCATAATTAAAAAACAGTATAAAACATCAACATTGACCCTCCCCTGATAAAACATTAAACGTTATTAAACACAACACATAAAATAAATTCTTATGTTCATATGTCAAAGTCACAAAATACTGCCCTTGTGACAGTTATTCCCGGTAAGTATACACAGCATGGTAGCCTAACTCTCTAGGCTGCTGATTTTTTCATGGTTCTTTCAACCATGACTCTTTTAAAATACGGTTTGAATTTTAATTGATATAGTGAGAAAAATTAACTAGGAATACATACCTCATGCTCACAGATTTTGATTATGACTTTTGCTGTTTGTGTCAACTTGTGATTTCCTGAAGAAAAATAAGAAGAGTTGTCTGTGATCAACTCTCGATACTATAATACTATCACTTGTGTTTTAACACTTGTGTTTTTAAAACAATTACAACACAGGCCCTTGTGTTTTTAACACAAGTTAACCATCCTATTGTTTGGTATGAAAAACCCTAATGTGTGCATAATGTTTTATAAAGAAAGAATATTTAAATAAGTATTTCAAAAACTACTAATGGTTGTTTTTTTTAATGGTTTTTTAAAATTTCTAAAGTCAGACATAATGTTGCTATGGCAGTTTGGAAACAAATCTCTGGCTATTTAAAGGATAGTGCTTAGGTGGCATTATCTTTAGTGCTAGCTACTGAGATCCCATACAGTAGACATGACAGAAACACATTTATATCCAAGCCTCTTATAAAACAAAACAATTTGAAGACCACAACATGGATGAGTGAAATCTTGCTTTAAAAGAGTACTAAAATATAAAAGTTATTTTAGACTTCTGCAAGGAATAGTTTCAATACAAAAAGTTAGCATGACCTTATTCGATTTAAGAGACCACTGTAGATGAAATGAAACATCCTTCACTCTGAATCCTTGTTTTCCAAATACATTTTATGTTATAGGGTCATTAGCTTGTTGTTTAAAAAGAAGAGTACCTTGACTCAATCTCAACCCATTATATACCAATTGGTATCGTGATTGTCATCTAGGGAAAAGACCCATACTTACCCCCATTGTAAATTATGCAGTTGTGCAAAATCCATTTGGCATCAGCCAAAAAAGCTTCAGTGCAACCATACATCTTCTTTTTAACATTCTGGGGAGCAGAAATATGATAATGTTTTAGGAACTGAACACTGTTTTCTAAATTCAGTAGCTGTGAAAGATATAAGACTTTCACATTTTATGCCACAGGACTGAAAAAATGGGGAAAGCAAATATTTAGTTGGAATCTATTGGGTATAGTCATGTGCAAATACAATTTTGATGTTGGCACAACTATAGAATTATTAAAAGAAGTGTTGCAAATGTCATTTTATTTTTTTTCATAAATGAAATCAACTTGCAAATATGTTTTGAGAGAAGTCCATGAGGCATTAAGCAAACATCTGCTTAAATGAAATTGTAATTGACTTGTTTTTTTACCAATGGATTTTTTAAAAAGTGATGAATCCTACTGAATCCTCAAAAATGTGAGCACAGTAAAACAGATACTCTAATGCACTTTGCAACCATTTTAACTATGGGAGGTAAATTGTCCATTCATATTGGGGATTCTCATTCTGTTACTGACATATTTCCCCTTCAATTTTGTTCTGTTCAGTCTAGAGTAGTGTTGGACTTGTCAGGAATAGATACAGGAATATAAAACCATGAGACAGTGTTGCAAATGATAATGATGATGATGATCTTTATTTTTAACCTGCCCTCTCTCTCTGAAGGGACTCAGAACAGCTTCCAAAAAGACAAATGGCAAACATGCCATATACAAAACAGATTAGAACAATTAAGACAAACAAATTAATAAACAGTTAAAAATAGAACAATTGAGCAACCTTGACTAAACACTTAACTCTTTCAGGGCTCATAAATAATGCCAAAAAGAGATTAAACCATTAAAATCTGTGTAAATAAATTATAAAAGTATAAAAATATAAGACTATAAAATATATAAATCTTTATTAAGTTAAGGTAATCATTGTCAGCACTGTCCAACGGGTCAAAAATAATGATAAAAACTTCTCATCTTCCTCTCCATAAGTTAAAGTACACAAGTAAGTTTTTAGCTGTTTCTTGGAGGAACGAGGAGGCTGTTCTGATTTCTTTCATGAGGGAGTTCCAGAGAGAAGGAGAGACCTCTCTCGTTCCCACCAGCTTAACTTGAGACGGGGGTGGGATCAAGAGGAGGGTCCCAGTCCCCTCGGATGATCGCAGTGTTTGGGATGAGTTTATAGGTTTATAATCATCACTTTGTATTTAGCCCGATAGCAGATCGGCAGCCAGGGGAGCTGCCATAACATGGCAGTTGTCCGCTCCCTGTACGGCACTCCAGTTAGCAACCTGGCTGCCAATCTCTAGACCAGTTGCAGCTTCTGAACAATACGAAAAGATAGTTGCATCTAGATTTTATAAACATAGTCCCAGTATCATTTCCACACAAAGAAGGAACCCCAAAGAAGGACAACTTAAATCTTTTTAAAACCTTATACGTGAAGTATGGGTTTAGTGCTTTCTAAAAGAGTATTCAGTTAGCACAAGTGAAAATCTAAAATATATTGGATCCGAGAGAACGGTTACAATAAGAAGACCAAGAGGTAACAAACTAATAAGTCTTGAATTCCCAGTACACAGCTGTGATGTAACATGCAATGAAGCAACTGCAAATTCACACAAATGAAATACTATAATAGAGAATTAAGCCCAGCATTTCTGGTACAGCTAATTAATTCCATGATGTTGAAAGAAAAAACTTATTCATCATGAAAAAGTACATTGATTTTAGAAAGATGCCATATACGAGTACAATAACATTGTAATGGAGATCAATGGGATTTCCCTCTTTGTTATCAACCAACCTTTTCTAATGTACACAGATCCATAGGATGAAAGATGTATTCTGCATAATCTGGATGCTGATCCAGTGAAACTGGCTTTTGAAATGGCTCTGTCTGTTTAAAAAGCACAAAATGTTAGGGCTGCAATGGCAAGTGTATTAAATTTATAGAAGACTTTCTGATCAACTGAACTGATGCCCCAATTAATCTGGCAGATTGACCCCCCCCCCCAAAAAAAAATCAGTAAGCACCCCACTACCACCCACCACTCCGTTATGACATGGTCCAACAACAAAAAAGTATTGGTGTCTTGGTTTTTAAACCTGTCCCTGGGGTTATTTAGGGCGCCGATTCAAAAGATCACATTGAATTGAGCACCTCAACTCTATTTTCATAGATATGGTTATCATGATTTTCTATGGGCAAGCAGATTAAGACTAGCAGATAGCATATGTTTTGTATTTCAAAAACTAGAGCTGATAAGGGTAAAACTGGTACCATTTTTGCAATCAACAGGTCAAATATACCCAGAAACAGGTCTAACATTTAAGGCAGCAAAATACGTTTTGGCCAGTATTATCAATACACTTTTTAAAAAAATACAAAATCTGCAGGTGGCAAGAACCATTAAAAGATGAATTGGCTCAAATTCAATTGTCAGTCCCAACTAGAATAGACGCGTTATGTCAATGGGGATTTTGGTAAATCAACACTTATATAAATTCCCTTGACACAATGGATTTCACTCTAGTTGGAACTAGCAATGAGATCTAAGCATTTATCTCCTATCAGAAAAATTAGAAGATAATACCTACTTTAAAATAGAAGCTGCTATGACAATGTATATGTCTAATATAAAAATAAATGCATTTTTATTTTAAAACAATGACCTAAATCCAATGTTAGTTTCAAGTGAGGCAGACTTACTAAAAACTATTCTATGGGACAAAAACCTATTTCTAGCGACCTTAACATGTTCTAAATCAAGTGGCCCAATATTTTAATCCTGGTTCTTGTACTATGGCCAAAGGTCCTGGAAACAAACATTGTCCAGTGAATGTATGGATGGATGGAAATTCATTCCAGTTTGAATTGTAAATTCCTTTCCCTCTCAGGCACTGTTAGTCTTCTTACTGACTGGTGGGAGCCAATATTATCGAGGTGTACACTACACAGCTTTAGGTGGCAAAATAGATCAAGATCAACCAGTAAATGTAAAAAGATAAGATTTACAAGAGTTCAGAATGTGTTTCTGTTACCCAGTTCCCACCATTAGAATATAATGAAGCAGCTTAATGAAGATATATTAGGCTCATGGGAAACGGAAATAGAAAATGGCTGTGAATTCAGTTCAGCTTGAGTGTGGACAACCTTTAGGACTCAAAATGTGATCAAAAGTACTCTGATCTTTAATTTTAACTATAAATATCCACATGACTCTAGCTGATGAGCCTTGGAATGGAGGGGAAAAGGAAAGAGGTGGAATCAAATGAGACTGAAGTCTGCCCATCCCTGGCATATGGTATTATAGCATTATAGTGTTTTGTCCGTTACCAGAAATATATTAACAGAATTATTCATCACCAAAATATATATATAAGAGACAATTGTCAACATATATTATTCTTACCCCTGGCTGTTTCATTTTCTGTAGTGCAAACTTGAGCAAGTAGGATAGCTGTTCAATAGTGAGCATTGTCATAGCTTTACTCTGTGTTTCTATGCATTCGGCTACAGTAATTTTCTAAAAACAAAGATAAAAATGCTGAAAATTTAGATGTGGAATCAAAATCAATGTTTTCTCATGAGGCATGCAGAGTATTGATACATACAAACATAAATATTGGCATTAAATTTTGAAAGCAATTCAATGGCTACTTCAACTGTTCTATGCTTGCTTATATACTTATGAAAGTGCACTAAGTCCTCAAAGAGCACTCTAACATTCATCGTGAGAAGTCTATTGCATTACACCTGCAGAACAAAAATTAATCCAGAATATGGATGCTTCTGCCTGTTTGAACCTTCACCCTTTAATAATTTGGGAAACTTGAAGACTAACGTAAAACCAGGCCCTTTGCCAAAGTTTGCTTAACTTTCCACATCTTGTCCAAATAATGTAACAGGCAAACAAAAGAAGGCTGTGCAAAACAAAAAACAAAACAAAACAAAAAACTGACAATATGAACAGGTTTTGGTGTTATTAAAGGAGAATGTGCTGAGTGACAATTTCACGTCTTGGCTAAGGGCTAATTTGTTAAAGCCCCTCTGCATGGAGGTTATAATTGTTCTAACTCTAAAACAAGCGAGAATGCCATATTAAGATACTGGGGTGATTAAAGTATTTTCTGTAAGGTCAATATTACTGCAGTGTTTAAAATGATAGCAGGCACTAACATTCACCTTACGTTTTTGTTCTTTATACACATTGAGTCTCTGTTATCTGAAATGTTTGGGACCTGAGTTCTTTTGGCATTTGATTTTTAGGGTTTGGGGAATACTTATATTTGTATGTGCATAGTGAATGAAGGATTGGGGGGGGGGGGGCTAGTTACACAACCAGCACCAGCTAGTTTTTTTTTCAAAGCACACTTACTCCATGACTGTCAAAAAGTTGATGGGGAGGGGGGAAGATTTCCAGTGTGTGAAGTGTGAACAAAGGCCTGCCACCTGCCATGTACATGACAAAATCAACACAGAAGATGTAGGTGAGAAAGGATGAAACAATTGAAGTATTTATAAAAGAATATAACACTTGGCATACTTGCAGAATTCACCTTCTGAACAATTCTTTGTACAGCCCCATCTCTGCTTCCAAGAAGTGGTAGTCAAACCAGATCAGAAGTGATCATGTCTGGAGAGGTGGAAAACTAGTAGCAATGAGATAAATATGTATCTCATATCAAACTAACCTCACATTCTGGGCAAAACCAATCCCCCTCTGGCTCCGCTGTCAGTTTCAGACATTTAGCGTGATAAACCCGAGGGCAGAGTTCACAGCAGAGGACTTGGCCTTCCCGATGACAAACCCAGCAATAGAAATCATTCCGTCCATCCTGCGGTACAACATCAACAGGGTCTGTGGTGAGTGGCTGCTTCATATAGTAAAACGGACCATGTCTTAGTTCTGACTGAAATGTAGGCAAGAAAGACAGGTTTGGTTTCAAAACAAATTTGTAATTTCAAATAATAAAAACCAACATGACCAACCAGCCCCCAACAACATTTGACAGAGCTTTTCTAGTGTTTATGTATTTCCATTCTCTCTTTCAGCGCACAATGAACATTAAAAATAGATAGGTAAGTAGATAGAGGCAGTACTCCTCAAAATGATGGTCCATAGACCAAAGCCAATCTAAAGAAAGCTTCCAAGAGGAAAAAAACCTAGAAAACGGGCACAAATATGAATACTTGGAACATTGGACAAAAAAAGCTATCTGGTTCCTAGTAAACACTATCTTAAGGCAAATGCAGTTCTTCCATTTCAGATATTTGAAAGCTCTTTCATGTCAAACAACATCTGCCATTAATTGCACATTTAGTAATTCTCTGAGTTATCACCAACAAAAATACATAAGATATCTGCAAAAGCAGGGGTGAATGAAGGTAGACTGGACTTTCCTTCTACCTGGCTATGGCTTTTTTTTTATTATTGATACAAAAACCCCTTTAGCTGCAATTGAAAGAGCTTATTGAATCTAACTAGAGATGTATCTTTCCCTTCATATTTTTGATAAGGATGTCAAGAGTGGCCTTCTCAATGGCTGCTCAGCAACAGAACTTCCTCTCATGAAAGGGTGGTTGAGCTCCATGTCTGCTCTCATTTCACAAACTGATTAAAAATCTTTTTAATTGACAATAGCATTTTGAAGTTCTTCACACGGGGGCTCTGTACAGGATGTTTCAAAATGACAGATCCAATTTCAAAGCAGTATATCTCATGTTACAATTACAGAAAAGGTTACAAACGGTTTAATGAGTTTTCAAGTTATCAAGCTTGACTAACCATTTTGAGCCAGAAACAATTTTTTTAAATAACTGCAAATGGAGAATATCTCATTAGGTCTTATGTTGTGGGCTTGCTGTCTTGCAGATGCTTGAGGATAAGGGCTGTTTGAAACTACGTGCCCCATCCTTTCAAAGGTTAAGAGTTTCATTCATTGGTGGTTTGTGGTTGCAGAGATACAGCAATTTCAAACTGGGTCCATCTTTTTGAAACACTTTGTATTTCTATCTACATTGTTTTAAATAGTTCTAAATACCATATTACTTCAATTGCAAGATGCCATAGATTGTAAGAAGCACACTCATTTCAGTACAACCACCAACAAAAATACATAAGATATATCTCCAATTCTAAGACACATCAAATTTATATTTATATGGGGAGAAAGTGAGTCTAAGAATTGAAGAAATAGAGTATTAGTGATTTTAATAGGAAAATCAATTCATATCCATGTATTTTGTTTCATTCCATACTGTGGTTTGCTTTGGTTTTCACACAAGAGAAATGTGGACTATTAACAAGCTAACAAACAAATGTCAGTTTCTGCATGTGTACATGTACACAGGGGTATGCACACACCTGGAATATTTGAATGTCTGAAGCGGTCTCTTAACTCTCAGGTCACATCCCCACCTCTTTTAATTTTTATAATCCCAGTTATGCAATATTTGAGAAGTTGTGGTTATCTCAGAGGAAGATGCATAAATCTATATAACAAGAGAGTTTTAACACATGACATGACTCTCAAACAGGTTGTGTTTCTGTCTCTTGACCCACTGTGCTTACAATTTGTGTGTATTTGGCTCCATTTAAGGTCTGTACCTAAAATCAGTCCTCACATATACAACTGCTGTCAAAAGCCTAGGCCCCATTTACAAATGGGAGGTTAACAAATTATTCAAATTCAAGTCACAGAATCCAGCTGAGTCAATAATTACAGAGAATTACACCAGGGAATCCGATAGTCTGTTCCAAGTTCCAGAGATAATTCCAACAGAGTCTAGAGTTAAGGGTTAATCCAAAAATCCAAATGCCAGAGTTCAAAGACAGACTACAGTTCAGAGATCACCAACAGCTGAGATCGCAGTTCCAAATGCTGAAGTTGCTGCTAGTAACACTTGAGCACCTTTTATGCGAACTTCTCAGATGTTGTCTACTTAGAGCTCATTGTTAACTGGAGGACTTGTGAAATTGAGCCTTCTCCCTTCACAGGTCCAAAAGAGTTGTAACATTTAACTCTTCCTCTGTCTGCTCAGCACAGCTTGCCTGTACTTGCTCTGCAGGGTGAAATAGCAGCTTCTCTTTAGGCTCTTCTTCCAAGTTTGAAAGAGGAAGCTGCTTGAGCACTGCTGGACTCTAACTCAAACGCTAGCCTTTCAAACAGCACCTCCTCACCTCCTGCCATCAGACCTATCCATAACACCTGTGGGCAGTGACTTAAAAGATTTCTTTATTCTGCGAGCAAATCCTAACAGTTCTAACAATAGCTTCAGTTGTAAATATGTTGGACCTCGAGTCAAATGAGTCCATTCCTCCTGAATTGAATGGTCATTGCAATCTGCTCACCATCCTGAGATTTGCATCTGTTGCCACTTAGCACTTTTGGATGGATAAAAAATGGTATTCCTTTGTTCATGTTTTTTATGTTCAACTATCATTTTAACTCCTACTTCCAAGATTATGGCAGACTGTTTTGTGATGTTCTTTCCTGACAGTTTCCCATTTGGAGTGGCATGAAGAACTGATACAACTTTTGAATATGGAATCAGTAGCCCCTGGATTTTTTCTAAAAACATTCATTAAACGTCTTCATTAAACATCTCAATTCCTTCTTTATTTTCATTCTCCTTTCTTGTGTTAGGAATAGACAACCTTTCTGGTATCTATCAATGTACCTAAATGAGTTAGAGTTGTGATTGGCTCTAAGGAGTTTATTACAAGATCACTGTGCCTTTACTTCCTCACAATATAAATTGGTGGCAGTAATGTTACGCTTCTTTACAAAATGGTGGCATATGTAAACATAGAGCTATACACTAAAAATTTACCATAGAGTAGCAATTTCGCTACAATCACAATGCTTTTTCAATACGTATAATGCTCTTCATACATCTCCTTTGATCATTTTCCTGCAGTTCTGTCCTGAGGAATGCAACTGCAGAGACTAAGACCCGTCGCAAACTAGCCTCCTGCGGGAGCAAACTGTGCTAGCACGTCCATGACGTCATGAGACCCCGCCTCTCTCTCCGCCCCTTTCTCCGCCTCTTTCTCCGTGCCAGAGTGGTTTTTCCTTTGCTAGGGCAGCATTGCCAGCGTACTCTCGTTGTTGACAGAATTCAACAACGAGAGTACGCTGGCAATGCTGCCCTAGCAAAGGAAAAACCACTCTGGCACGGAGAAAGAGGAGAGGCGGGGTCTCATGACGTCATGGACGTGCTAACACAGTTTGCTCCCGCAGGAGGCTAGTTTGCGACGGTCTAAGAGCCGTAGCAAACTAGGATTTTGCGAGAGCAAACTAAGCCAGCACGAGCGATGCTCCGCCTCTTTCTCCGCCTATTTCCCTTTGCTAGGGCAGCGTTGCGAGAATACGCTCGTGCCGCAGCAAACTACAGGAAGCTTGCGCTTGGCCTTGCTCCGAAGCCCCGCCTTTTTTTCCCCCGAGGCTGCTCTCTCTCTTGCTAGCGTGCCTGTTTTCCATTGCAGAGGGCAGGGATGCGAGCGTACGCTCACAGTTGAATTCTGCCAACTGCGAGAGTACACTCGCATCGCTTCCCTAGCAAGGGAAAACAGGCACACTAGCAAGAGAGAGAGCAGCCTCGGGGGGAAAAAGGCGGGGCTTCAGAGTGAGCTCTAGCACAACCTCGCTCTCGCTTCCAGTAGTTTGCTACGGCTCTAACACTTTGGTGAAGGCTCTGGGAGCTGAGTCTAGAACAAACGGATGGGGACTGAATTCAAATGATTATCTTTGAAATTAAAATGAACGTATTTCCTGCAACTTGGTTAATTGAGTAAATGCAAATATGCACTTTTCAAATCAATCTATATCATCCAATTGTTGACTTGCAAATTCTCCCTGATCTTTCCATCTTGAACCTTTGATGTTCAAAAACTTTAATACAGGATGGTATGACCCATTACTCTTCCGCACTGTGATTAAGATGGAATAAAAACACTTGAATTTCTGATTCTGAGCTACCCTTTTCATAGTTAAAATCTGAACAGTCACCTGTTTCTCTTTTATGTTTGGTATCAATGGAGGAAGATATCTGCTGGTTGGTTTTATTGGAACAACATGATCTTGTAACCTGAATCACCAACAATGTCTGGTTATCCCTTTCCAAATCCAATCAAAATGCCACAACCTTTCCGCAATGGGAAAATCCTTCATTTTAGCATTGTTCTCTGTCACCTCTGACAACCTGACTTGTATTATCTACCCCAATTTCTTCCCCCACAAAAGGAAAAATAATTCTAGCCAAAAAGGGCTTATCGTATCTATTTCTTTGTATTGTGGGCATAACTTATTTTTATCTTTATTTTTACAAATACTTTTTTCTAGAGCTTTTTTGCCTGAAAAGCAAATTTTCCTCACATTTGGAATGTACACCAATTATTTTTGGATTTCTGATCTACATCCCAGTGAGTGCACCAATGGAATCTGCATGCCATGTTGGTAGCTGTTATTCTTCTTGAAGTAAATGCCACAGAATCATGGCTTGCACTTACAGTGTAGTGCAGAAACCAGAAAATACTATTTTAGGCTTTGTTTAAATTTATCTTATTGTCCTGCTGGGATTTTAAAATAACCTATATACAAAGTACACAGTTGTAGTGAACATTGTTACTGTTGTGGAACTACTTGATCACTAAGGCAAAGACTTCATGATATGTCCTTAATTCTCCAACAGCCTAATTTCATTCACTTCAGAACTATATCTATCTCTTTAAGAATTACAATTTCCAAACTCAGTACTGCAACTGGCTCAGCTACAAGGGGCACTCTAAAATACCCTATATACTTTTCTCTATAGAAATACCATGGGTCCTCTAAATCCTCAGTACCTGGATTCGAGATTTCCAGGGGCTGCACATCATGCACTCCATATTGGTGACAAGAATGCTAAATCGCTGAAGTGTGCATGTTCACATCACCACCATTTCACAATATGGGTTGTGATTATTCACATTTTTTTCACATGCATGGTCGGTCCCAGAACCAAATCCCTGCTGATATTGCAGGATCATTGTACAGCTTTTGATGTCTTCTTTCTACTAATGATCTCTTAGTAATTAAGTATATTTCCCAATCCATTACTAAAAAAAATCTGCTTTGTCTGGGCCCTCCATCATCTGAGAAATTATCTGATTATCAGATTGATCATGTAAAGGTTTTATTTGTATTTTCTTTCTTAAGGAATATCTTCTTCTCCATTCAAAACTGCTGCCTTACTGGAGTGATATTTAATAGGGTTACTCTTTTGGGTAGTTGGTTTGTTATAATTTAACTGCCCTTGTGGCCCCTCCCTTTTGTCAAGGCTGTGCAAAAGCTGTATCTGAATTATCAACCAGGACATTCTGTCTCCATATTTAAAATGTCCATTTTTAGTATGGCAACTTAAATTGTCACTGAAAGTTTTTCAGCATCAGGATTGTTCCTCCTCCTGCTGTTTTACCAGATGACTCAGGTTCCTGCACCCCACTAACAATTATATACTTTTATTTCAAATCACACCAATGTGTATAATGACATATTTTCTTTTTTAGTAGAGGAGAGGCAACACTGATGAAATATTCTTTATTGATGAAATAAATACCAGTGTGGATGAAAGGGCAAACAGTGTAGTATCAGATCCAGTCCTTGTAACAGTCTAAATTCACTTAGTTTCCCATCTCCCTATTCCCAGGTTATTCACAAGCAAAGCTCACATTCCAGTCACGAGGTAAATGGGCAATAATTCAAAGTCATTTTGGCCTAATGAATAACCTGTGTACTTCTAATTATGGACAAATCTTCTTCTGGTGCCTCAACAATGTTTAGTGTCCAAGTATTAAAATACCATGAATGATGTAAAGTATGACTCTGCAAATCAACTGCTGAAGAGAAAGTGAGTCTATCCTGCTGTTTTGGTCTTCCAAGAAGCATCTAGCTTACCACTACAGAAAGCATAAGCTGGTCCAGCTGAGTCTTTGGTTTGATCCAATATTTTTGTTTGTTTGTTTCTGAACTGTACTATTGCATTTCCCCCTCCCTTTGTGTGTGTGATTAATTAAACCCTGTCTATATTTTGGGACGGACACACAGTCCCCAAGTTACGAACAATATAGGTTCTGTAGGTTTGTCCTTCAACTGAATTTTTAGGTAAGTTGGAACAGTTAAATTTTCTAAGTGTAACTTCAGCCGAAATAATTTTTTTAGCTTTGGATGAATAGGGAAGGGTTAACACCCTGTAGTGTTTGTTTTGATGTCTGTGCCTCTGGTCAGAAGATTTCACCTCACTTCCTGTCCCTGTGACAAGTGGATTTTGTAAAATTTGGCATGTTGTGGAAACAAGGATTGGTGAGAAATGTTCAGTGGAGACACATTTCCCCATTGTAACTTTTTCAGAAATGAATTTCCCTTCCTAGGGGTAGATTTCTCTCACTTTCTATTGTCTCACCCCTGTTCTTAACTATGAGTAATTTGTAAATCAGATGTTTGTAACTCGGGTACTGCCTGTATTTTAAATATTAAGGAACAGTAAGCTTTTTTACATTAAGAATCTATTTAACCAGGACTCTGTTTACTTATAAATATAGAACTCTCCTATAGACTTCATTTTAATATAAAGATGTTACTGCTGCAGAAATGTCTAAAAATAGCCAGAAGAGAACCATCACCATAAGAGGAGATTTTGGACCAAGGAACAATCACCACATACAACATCTGATCAGATCCACGACTTCTATTACCTGCTCTTTATTATTACTATTCAATAAGCCAGGTTTCTTTTTCTTTTTAATAGGGCTGGTTGATGAGTCTTCTGGTGAGTGACCATTGGAAGAATGTGGAGGACTTGGAAACTTCCTTTTTTGCGCTGTACGTTCAGCAGAGCCAGGATCTTTAAAAAAAAGTTATAAGAACATTAAGAATCCATACATGACCATTTCTATACCACCACTTGTTAGTATTTTACTGAGCAGACTATCCCAAATAAAATCTAGTGACAAATAAAGCCCTGAAGATTTTTTAACACTTAGACCTATAATTTTATCAGCTATACAACTATCACCAGTGAGCCATGTATAATCAGATTAAATAACAAAAAGGAATAAAAGTAATCAAGTCATCACTGTTGATCACAACTGTTAAAGGTGACTAGATTAAGTTCATTGCATGCGAACACAGGACAGATTAATTCAACTTTACTGTCCATACATGATCAGGAAGTGTCCTACGAAAGGAACTACTGGCCGACAGAAACATGCTTTCAAGATGAAAATGAATGTGAAGATTATGTGCTATCCAGCTAGTATGAGCAAATACAAATGTGGAATGCATGATTTGTGGCAGGTACATAAATATACACAAACACATGACACAATTAACTGGCCTAAAGCTATCCATACTCTTCTGCATATGCCTATATTCCCTCGCTGGTAGCACCTGTTTATAAGGAAAATGATATATCTGTACACGATCAAATGTCCAGGTACATGTGGTTAATTGTATTCTGCATGTAGTAATGCACACTGAGCAGTGAAGTCGTAAGTCTTTGGTGTTGTGAAAAATATAGACCAGATTCTCATGACTCATTTGTCATATGCATATTCATTTCAGACAAATGAACTAATCAGACCAACCCTGTCATGTCAATCATCCTAAACACTATGCAGATTTACCCAAGACACCCATATATAAGTAAACCTTCGGCAATATTCTCATGGAATACTTTGTACTCTGTCTAGATTTTTTTCTCACACAATTTGTATATACCATGTTTTAAAGTGTTGTTACCATATCTGATGGAGTATTTAACCAAATTAACAACTGCAGAAAGTCCTGCTAAATCAGCCAATTATTTCTGCCATTCTGGGCAGAAATGGGTGGCTGGTGTCTTGTAAACAGGTAACCCTCCAAAAAGAGTCCACCAGAGGGCACAAGATAGCTTCCCATTACTCAGTGCAATTAAAGAAAGAACGATGTGGAAGGCCAGGTCTGTAACAAACATACTGTTCATAAAAACAAAAACAATTATGTCTAGCTTTTTCTTTCATAAAAGTAACATATCCATATATTTCTAGCTCTCATTTCTGGGGGAGAACCATCTTTTAATGTGCCTGATTCATACAGTGCTAAGAAAGTATTTATGAATACTGTAATACATCACAGTATTCATAACGTAGGTCAGTTATCATATGACTGCTTGACCAGCTAATTGTGGCAGGTCTCTTGCATTAACCAATCCAGGGCAACAAAGCCTGGAGGTTAAAATGAATCATATGAATTTATCATAAGCTTAAGTAGCCTCGTTGATAGTATAACGTTGTAGTCAGTACAGAAGCTACTTAGCATCAGTCAACAGGCAGATCAATCAATACTAAAAATTCCCACATTTTTATTCATAATGGTAAATAAGACAGTCCTCTCTTCTAGCAAATGTAGTAAGCCCTGGTTTCAGAAATGACCAGAAATTTGAGGATGCACACAGGTTACTCAAGTGCTGTGTCATCAAATTGTTTTCCCTACGGGGTTAAAAAACATCAACCATGACCTTTTGGAACCAACTGACTGTAGTAGAAGTGATGTGAACTTCATCATGTCTACTTTCTGTTGCTGTCAACAACAAGGTTGAGATCTTTTCCCACACATAAGCTTAATGATCCATGAGGAAAATCAGGAGGAACATCTGCTTGGAGAAGGGTCATACAGGAGCCCTTGAATATTACCAGACAGAGAGGCAAAGACAAGCTATTAACAGATTCCAGCAATTTCCAAACCAATAAAGTCAATAACATCTAAGTTGCATTTGAAACACTGGGCTATTTGAAAACCACTTTTTAAGCCATGGATATTGCCTTTGTGGATATGGAAGGCCAACTCTATGAAGGTGGACAATCAGGCAGCTTTGATCTATAAATTTTTGTGTATCTGAATAATGCAATCTAGATAACTAGTCATTTAAAGCCCTATATGTCAATAACATGACTATGAGTATGGTTCAGCAAAAAATAGACAGCAATATAGTTCTTTGAAAAATGGTATAGTATACTCATAGTAGGCTACTCCTCAGCAAGCTGACAGTCATGTATATTATCTGCTTTCTGCACATAGCCTTGCCTGCAATAGTGCCTTTGTTTAAAAAAGGTGTATTTGAGATAGTTTTGTAATTGTCCAGCAACTGGTACATTGGAGTGAGAAATCACTAATGAGTTGCTTCATTATAAATGTACAATGCATACAAGTCAAACTACACTTTTCTGAGAGGTTTAGTTTAGTTTACATTAATTGTATTACCTCTGAAATATGAGTGAAATAGTTGTTCAACAATGGTTTTTGTGCTCAATTAGTGAGGATCAAAATTAGGTGAGTTATTTTACACAGATTAAACATAAAAGTATATGCATTAGAAAATCAGTTCCTTTGGGTTTGGAATTGGGAGGCTCGGAAATCAAGTGATATTTAAGGGTATGAGCAGGTTAGAACTCGTTGTTGTTGTTCATTCGTTCAGTCGTCTCCGACTCTTCGTGACCTCATGGACCAGCCCACGCCAGAGCTCCCTGTCGGCCGTCACCACCCCCAGCTCCTTCAAGGTCAGTCCAGTCACTTCAAGGATGCCATCCATCCACCTTGCCCTTGGTCGGCCCCTCTTCCTTTTGCCTTCCACTTTCCCCAGCATAATTGTCTTCTCCAGGCTTTGCTGTCTCCTCATGATGTGGCCAAAGTACTTCAACTTTGTCTCTAGTATCCTTCCCTCCAGTGAGCAGTCGGGCTTTATTTCCTGGAGGATGGACTGGTTGGATCTTCTCGCAGTCCAAGGCACTCTCAGAACTTTCCTCCAACACCACAGCTCAAAAGCATCGATCTTCCTTCGCTCAGCCTTCCCTAAGGTCCAGCTCTCACATCCGTAGGTTACTACAGGGAATACCATGGCTTTGACTAGGCGGATCTTTGTTGCCAGTCTGATGTCTCTACTCTTTACTATTTTATCGAGACTGGACATTGCTCTCCTCCCAAGAAGTAACGTCTTCTGATTTCCTGGCTACAGTCTGCATCTGCAGTAATCTTTGCACCTAGAAATACAAAGTCTGTCACGGCCTCCACATTTTCTCCCTCTATTTTCCAGTTGTCAATCATTCTTGTTGCCATGATCTCGGGTTTTTTTATGTTTAGCTGCAACCCAGCTTTTGCGCTTTCTTCTTTCACCTTGATTAGAAGGCTCCTCAGCTCCTCCTCGCTTTCGGCCATCAGAGTGGTGTCATCTGCATATCTGAGGTTGTTAATGTTTCTTCCTGCAATTTTCACCCCAGCCTTGCATTCATCAAGCCCCGCACATCGCATGATGTGTTCTGCATACAAGTTAAAAAGGTTGGGTGAGAGGATGCAGCCTTGCCGTACTCCTTTCCCAATCTTGAACCAGTCTGTTGTTCCGTGGTCAGTTCTTACTGTTGCTACTTGGTCCTTGTACAGATTCCTCAGGAGAGAGACAAGGTGGCTTGGGATGCCCATCCCACTAAGAACTTGCACAATTTATTATGATCCACACAGTCAAAGGCTTTAGAATAGTCAATGAAGCAGAAGTAGATGTTTTTCTGAAACTCCCTGCCTTTCTCCATTATCCAGCGGATATTGGCAATTTGGTCTCTCGTTCCTCTACCTTTTCTAAACCCAGCTTGAACATCTGGCAACTCTCGCTCCATGTATTGCTGGAGTCTTCCTTGCAGGATCTTGAGCATTATCTTACTGGCATGAGAAATAAGGGCCACTGTACGGAAGTTTGAGCAGTCTTTCGCATTTCCCTTTTTTGGTATGGGGATATAAGTTGATTTTTTCCAGTCTGATGGCCATTCTTGTGTTTTCCATATTTCCTGGCAAATGGCATGCATCACCTTGACAGCATCATCTTTTAAGATTTTAAACAGTTCAGCTGGGATCCCGTCATCTCCTGCTGCCTTGTTGTTAGCAATGCTTCTTAAGGCCCATTCAACCTCACTCCTCAGGATGTCTGGTTCTAATTCATTCACCACACCGTCAAAACTATCCTCAATATTATTATCCTTCCTATACAGATCTTCTGTATAGTCTCGCCACCTTCTCTTGATCTCTTCAGCTTCTGTTAGGTCCCTGCCATCTTTGTTTCTTATCATACCAATTTTTGCCTGAAATTTACCTCCAATGTTTCTAATTTTCTGGAAGAGGTATCTTGTCCTTCCTATTCTGTTGTCTTCTTCCACTTCCATGCATTGCTTGTTTAAAAATAGTTCCTTATCTCTTCTGGCTAACCTCTGGAATTGCATTTAACTGGGCATATCTCCCCTTATCCTGTTTCCTTTTGCTTTCCTCCTTTCTTGGGCTACTTCCAGTGTCTCAGCAGACAACCATTTTGCCTTCTTGGTTTTCTTTTTCTTTGGGACATACTTTGTTGCCGCCTCCTGAACAATGTCTCGGACTTCTGTCCATAGTTCTTCTGGGACTCTGTTTACTAAATCTAGTCCTTCAAATCTGTTCTTCACTTCCACTGTATATTCGCTAGGAATGTTAGTGAGATCATATCTAACTGGTCTGTGTATTTTCCCTGATCTCTTTAGTTTTATTCTAAATTGGGCAATAAGAAGTTCGTGATCTGAGCTACAGTCAGCCCCAGGTCTTGTATTCACCGACTGGATGGATGTCCGCCACCTTTGGCTGCAAAGGATGTAGTCAATCTGATTTCGGTGTTGACCGTCTGGTGAGGTCCATGTGTAAAGCCGTCTTTTAGGTTGTTGGAAGAGAGTATTCGTTATACACAGCGAGTTTTCCTGGCAAAATTCTATCAGCCTGCGTCCCGCTTCATTTTGTTCTCCCAGACCATGCTTGCCTGTGATCCCAGTTGTCATTTGACTTCCCACCTTGGCATTCCAG